GGAACCGAAATTCCACCTCACCTGGCAACCCTAGGTCTAAAACAACTTTAGGGAATGGAGCTTTCCTCTGCAGATTCTATCTGGTAAGCTGTTGAAAAACCAAAGAAAAAGGGTGCGCGAGCATGAGCGCAAGCTCGCCCAAACGCACGTAAATTTTCACGATGTCGGTCACCTGTTACACTAAAAAGGCCAAGTGATTTTAAACAAAGCTGTGGCTTGCGGTAAAAAATCTCAAAATGTAATAGCTCCGTAAGATTTCAGTATGTTGTGTTGTTTTCACCCTAGCTTTGTCTGGCTGAGGCCAATGTTTCAAGAAACTTTTAAACAGGCCAATTGCAGCAGCGAAGGTGAGAATCCAGCATCAACCGCCACCCCGAAAACCAAAATACCCTGTCGGTCCCACCCAAATTACCGACAAAAACAATTTTTTCTGAGAAGCGTGAGCTCGTTTCGATTTCAAAACTAGATCGAAGGCGGGACTGCTTTCAAATGTATGTCTGTGTTTACTGTGACTAAATAGCGTGCATTTGTTCTTATTTCCTACGTAACCCGAAAAACATTCATCCGCGGCGGTCGATGCGCTTGTTGTCGACGATCATGGGCTGGAGCTTGGTTGTAGAAGTTACGTAAGTGGAGTCTTGGCCCTTGTAGCTGTTGGAGCAATGGTTCGGGGTCGTAGGTGCTGTAATTGCTGTAACTACTGGTTTGGTTGCCCCAAGTGGTTGGAGGGCGGGGGAGCCGTGCCAACCATCTCCCCAATCTTTGACTTTGCCTTTACGTTTGTTGGAGCTTGGGCAGCGGCCCTTACCGAAGGAGCGGCTTTGTCTGCACCGCGGGCGTAAGAAGAGGGGTCGATACTATGGTCACTCATGGCTTGGGCCACTGTGGTATGGAGACCACTTTGACCCTGCAAGAGGAAGTCAGGGGAAACTTAAGGGTATCCAGCGTTGTTTTCTCCAAGGCTGTTAGGAAGGAGGCTGCAACATGTGACGTATGGTGTGGGAGAATAAACAGCTTGCAAATCATGGTGGTACCAATCTTGAAATAGGCCACTGTGCAATTTAATCGCCCGGAACATCGTTCTGTCGATCATCAGGAATCCACAACTGGAGGGAATACCAGTCCGGCTTAACGAACTCTTGGAACGAAGGAGCTGAGCGACCATTTGGAATAACCCCAATGAAGCATGAGATCAAGGCAAACAGGGACCAAGGGGCTGTTTTTCAAGGCGTTCTGGGAAGGAGCTGTATGGGAGTTTTTCTATCGTAAGTGTCTTCATCTGCGCGAAAGTAACGTTTGCTGGAGCGAAAGGACGGGAGAAAGCTTTCGTCAGATTCACAAAGGAATATACGCTTCAGAACACCGGAGGTCATTCCCATTCCGAATAGGCCTGGTGCCTAGTGTTAGTATCGATGGCTTTGTTGTCTACAAAAGGGGGAATACCATGGATGAGTACTGTGAGCTTGCGCAGAAACCGCTACATTGTCAAACCGATGTAGGGTAAGTCGACGATCTGCTGTAGCGAGGGTTTCCCTGAGGCTGTGGGACCCAAAGAACAAAAGCAAGTGCTTGGTGATACTCTGTCAAGACTCCTGCGGGGGCACCTAAGGCCGGCGGGGCCTTGCTACGAAGGTCAAGTCGGGACTTGCTTCAGCTGCTTACGGCTTGCTTCGAAGGCACGGAGGGCTTCAGGACTATCGCAAGCTTTATACTTGTTGGGGGTCCATGTCACCCCCACTCATTATGAAGCACGGTGCTTCACGACTTCAGATGCATCATACGCACAGGCAAAGTTGGAACATACAACGCACGTATTCCTCCACCGGAGTCGGTGACTCCAGCTACGCGGCGTTTCAGCCAGCGCTGTGGTGCGAAATGTTTCTTGGAGATCCTTGTCCTTGTTGGAACTACGTAGTTGATCTCGACGAGCCTGCCACCTTAGGCCGCAATCGTCGACCAATTTACTTTGGCGATTTGCATATGGCGCTTCAGACGGCCGACTCTGCAAGCAATGCATTGATTTGTACGACGTGTTAAGCAACACGCGAGCGACGCATCAAAGCACGTCACAGGCCGATCCTAAATCGGTCAGCTGTTTCATGCCTGAGCCAGAACTATTCTCTTTTTCGGCACGCTGGAATAGGAAAGGGCCTCCAAGATGACATGCCAAAACCAGAATGATTACTGGCTTTGTGGATGTGTGGGAGGATTGCGCCAGAAGGTGGCTCACTCCACCTCCAGGATGTGAATGCTTGCTAGACCACATGCTGCCTGGGTTTGCAAGGTCAAGGAGTTGAGCTTCTGGTAGCCAAAGTTAGAGTGTAGAATGTAGAGAACACACAGAGTTTTGCCGGTTAGTTGTTCTCCTTTTTGAGAAAGAGCAATGTCAATGTAACCCGTAGGATCTAAAGTCGAGCATGCATTTTTTTCTACGCGGAATTCAGTGCTCAAATGTGCACTCTGCGTTTCACCCAGTAGTGTTTCACCCATGGTCATACTCAACGCGAGACCTGCACGGGACACGCTTTGTTGAAGAGTGGGCGTTGGTTGCAAGGTGCGTAGAAGGTGGTCAGTAAACGGCTTACACCACTGGTGTCATCATGCGACCGGAGCATGTCGACATCGATTTCGACGTGACGCAGGTGCGTCTCATGCGTTTGGTGTGGTTGAATGCATGTTCTTGTGAGACATCGTTCTGAGAAGATTTCTTCTTTCCAGGTGGAAGAACTAGTGCAAGGCACCGATCTCAAGAATTTTCGGTTTCTTGATGAGCAAGGACAAGCTTTCGATTGATGAACTGAGTGAGGCGGCGATGACTTCGTGTTGGACTCCATAACAGCTGTGCATGCTGATCAATACCAGGCAGTGCGTGGTCTGACTTCACCGGTTGTACCACGTTGTATGCAGTTGTTGCATGCCACGGGAGGCTCTTGTGAAGCGTCTTCAAAGAGATGAAGAACTGATCAAGCAGCTGAAACATATTGTGAAGGCTGGGTGAGTGTTCTGTGCGGGAGAAGGCCATGACTATATATATGATGTAAACGTTTGTGGCGCAATGGGCTTGGAGTGGTTAGCCGCTAGCTCGTTTGGTGCGTCCCAGCGATGGGGCTACGTATTGGCAGACATGCGACATGCACCAGAGTGGTTCTGTGTCAAGGCCCAGCACGGCAAAATCGAGGAGTTTCGAGAGATGCTCGAAATTACAAGCATTGCAAAAAGCGTGGGCCTCAACAGCCTTAACGATTATGGACGGGGCTGGTAGTGAACTCAAAAGCTACGGTGGCGACATCTTGCCTTGTTGTGTCAGGTCCTTTGATTTCCGCGTATGAAGCAGATGATCTCAAAGTTGCGATGAACTTAGTTTGTTGTTTGAAACAGCATTGCCATGCTAACTGTACCTTGGTGCGTCCCGTCACGTCCCGTGTTCAGATTTGTGCTGCGTTGAAAGGCACTCGACAACAATCAGGAGCTCCATCGTAAGATGCATCAGCTGCAGGCCGGATCAGACCAAGAAACATGCTCCGACTTGTTTTCCAGTTTCGCCAGCTGTCAAACACGGAAAGGCTGGAATGGCCAAGCTGAGAGCAGAGAATGATTCCCTGAAGAAGGTCCGAATCAAGAAAGAATGTCTTGTGACGTGTGGCTTTAAGCACGCCGCACGAACAGTGTCAGCACATTGCAAAGGTTAACCGACGTCTGAAGGGTTTGCTCGAAGGCAGCGAGCCTGAGCCATGCAAGCACCTTGGATGCATTCAGAAGAGGCAAAGCATGGCAACGCTCTTTCACAGCTTTTTGCTTGGCGTTACGGCATGAAATTCAGATCATAGTCTGGAAGTGAGTGTCAAAATTCCAGGCAGATAGGTCATGAGGAGGCAGAAAAGACAAAGGGACATCATCAAACATGCTGGAAAAGTTAGCAAGTTGAGTTCGATTTTGTTCCTTCTTTTATCACGGCATATTCCACGTATTTTGAAAGCTTAGTTTATGACTTGCTGGTCTTTTCTATCGCAAACCTGCTGCGGTCCGGTGTGTCGAGACCTGGATTTCGCTGTACGTTTTGATGCTACAGGCTACAGGAGTGTTCTGAACGTTAGGCTAGGCCTCGAGTTGAGGCGGCTTTCTCTAGCAGGTGGAGCTTACGAGCAGACAACCTGCTGCAACATGACTCCCCAAGATTACACTTTGCTTCGAACCCACCTCCATGCCTGAGAAAGTAAGGCCAGAAGCTCTCTTTCAGCTACCTGGGACAGCGCCGCCACAGAGTGAAGGTTCCAGGTTTCCTAGAAGTCCAACGAATGTGCTTCTCGATTGCAAGGCCTTGCCGCTTGCCACGTGAGACTTTACTTTGGGCGTCTGAAAACCCTGGACATGCCCCATGCCAAGGCAGTCTGGAAGACACGAGTTGCTTGCCAGAATGCCATTAACGCCATTGACTTGTAGAGGACGCGCCACACGTTTTCAACAGCCCTGTCGCTCACCGTTGCTCACCGTATCTCACCGTGGAAAGTGGTTAATGTTTGCAGCAGGACGGTTCAACCATGCTACGCAGTTTGATCACACTGCTGGTGACCCAGAACTGCTGCTTGTGTGTGACCTAGCGTCTGATGTGTTTTCACGCGTTCTTCTAACCCCCAAAGCAATGAACGATTAGTCTTTGCACTTGACTGCGTGTTGGACATGTTGACCTTTTCTCGGCCATGAGTCATGAGTCATCAGAGACTTCGCGAGGGGTTGTTTGAAAGGATGCCGAAGCTTCATCACCACTCAGTCCAAGAAGGCCACGGCTGAGACGACCGCCGCTGCGTTCGTTCGCACAGCTGTGGCATGAGGGCGGGGGGGGGGGGGGGGGGGGGCCAAAACAATTTTCGTCAGGCAAGAAGATACGGTCATTCCGACATGTGTTTTTCTTCGGGTGAAATGGATGTTGCCCGCACAGAAGCTCGAGACAGGCACGGAAGGCAAAGCCGCCGTTTTCCAGAGTTTCTCAGCTCATCAACTCCATGAACCTGCACAACCCTGAGATGTTGGATGATGTGGAATGCTTCTTTTCCAGAGCAGGGGCTTAGGCATGGCAGGCAGCTGAGGTTCTGGCGTGACATTGAGTCCCCCTTGACTTGCCTCCGGGTCGTGCTCTTATCTTTCTTGACGTTGCCCTTCATGCGAACTTCAGCATGAGCAATTTGGGAGGCATTAGCTGATGTGTCGGCCCGAATGCTGGTCGATCGGCGCGTGTCCAACATTACGGCGCCCACCCATGCTTGAGTTCCGTTTGCGACAGAGTCATGATTGGAATGAGCAGGTATTCATCGTTGATCCATGGTTGAGGAAGGCTGTCACTTCGGGACCCTTCTCGAAGGCAGCTGCATTGAACAATGCTTTCTGCGTGAAAAGGAAGAGGTTGCAAGGAGATCCACGAAGAGCCGTACAAAGCTCTTTGACCCCATGTCACTCATGTGGCTCTGTGCAGACCGAACATCTGACGATCTTCTACCTTGGCCAGGGCAAGATAGAGCTACAGGCTATGGCATGTTGTTTGTGCGCGATGAGCGAGACATTGTGTCAGTTTGGGTTTTTGAGCATCTCTAGGTTATATACAGTTATGTGCATGCGGTTGTTTTGCTCTCATTTCATGCGTACCCTGGCTATCAGAGAAAGGCCCTCCTTCGACTGGAGGAAAGCAAGGCCCTGGCCCTGATCCGCAGCAGTTGCAGGTGTTGAATCTTTTCTCACGCAGGTATGTCCACCTGCTTTTTCCGACCTTCAGGCAGAGCTCCCATCTTTAAGCACCAAGAAGCAGCTTTAAGTTGTTGCACACAGAGAAGCGGAACAACAGGCATTTGCACATGGGATCATCTGGGCCTTGTTGCAAGAAGGCACTTCTGCTCCTCTCAGCACGTGTTGTACATGTAGGCCTTGCCCTTCCGGTCAAGAGTCTGCGCAGCCCTGCCGGCGATAGTCTCGGCAAATTCACTTTGACGTAGGACTGGTCTTTGTTAGTTCTTAGAAAGTTCGTCGATTGCGAGCATCCAGGTTCTGACGCCGAACCGTTCACGAGTATGGGACCAGCCCTCAGGTGAGCAAATGCCTCATACAGTGATAAGTCTGATACAGTATCCATTAAATAAAGCTCTGAAGCACGGATTGTCCCAGGCAGTCTTGCAGGTTCTGCTGGAGGACCTGCAGCTCTTGGATGAACTTCCTATGGTGTTGGTCATGACATGACACACCGCCTACTGTAATTAACCTGTTGCATAGGCGACTGACGGGTGAGCTTACGGTGATCTAGGTACACGCACCAGGATCGGACAGGACAAATAGCACGTAAAGGCACAAAGCAGCAGGAATGTCGAGGCAGCAGGAAGTCAAGTGTGCATGCACTCGTGTGTTGCGAGCATCAGGAACATTAGGGAAATTCGTGTTTTGCTTGGGGTCGGCTTGATTAAGGTGGCCACTCATGGGTCCCTTTATGCACCATTTTGCCATTGCATCACGGTCACAATGTGTTTCCAGCTCATGTGAGCGCGCTTTAGCCTGTGTCAATTCGTTTGGAGGTCTCCCCGCACAGAGAGCGTTCCTGTACTGCAGGAGTCGCGTGCATCTGACAGCGAGGCAGTTTGCATGGCGGCGCTTGGCATGGTTTGTGCGCTGCCCTGGCTGCGGATGCGATGTGAGGCACAAATAGTTCCCCGTGTTCTCCAAGATGCAGGCGTGTCCCAGGACTGAGTCACTGACCTTGTACTCGAACAGATATTCTTGCATCATGTTGTAATGGTATATCCATATAGACATGTACAAGTATTTCTAGAGTTATGTATGATCTATGGCTCGCTCCCACTAGTAACTAGTATCCCCCCCTATGCATAACCGCCGCAAAAGCCCGCATGTCATAGGAACCCAAGGGGATGGTGGGGTGGTGGGGTCTTGGGTTAGAAGGGTTTAAGGAACGTGGTGTGCTGTACCTTCTTCCAAAGCTCTGGGCCGGTCAATCGTTGTCCAAGAGGGAATGCATCTCAGGCCTCTGCTGATAAGGACATCGACCCCCAAGGGGGACATGCCCGGGGTCTGAGAGCTCTATTGCCCTCTCCGTTCTGCCTTTCAATGGCGGCGACATGGTGTGAATTCGCAGGCTCCTGTCGGTTTACGTTCTTTTTCCCACGCTGTTCGCCGCCCGAGCAAGCACACCAGCACCTTCGCTAATAATGGGAAAATATACACGCTTCTGCCAACAATCGCCCCTGCTGGCTCGCGACTTCCATGAAGCCTTCGGGGCAAGGGACCAGCGTGAGCTGAAGGCCACAGGCCTTGCATGCTGATCCGGCCCCGACCAGTCCGCAGCAGCATCGTAACATCCTTGGGACGTCTTGAGTTTGAGGGGAGAAACCCTCCCTTTTCGCCGTGTCCTCAAACGCATAATCCCGGTGCGCCATCTCGCAGGGGAGGAAGAGTTTCCACGTAACATAGCACATGCCAGTCCAGCTGCGCCTCCTTCTGAGGCTGCGTGCAATAAACTGCAAACCGATTTGTCCTTTCGCTGTGGTCTCCTGGCCTTCGGCTTCTTGGCGCTCATTTCTCTTGCTGTCCTTGTCGGTCTGGAGTCTGGGGGGTCATGTTGTCCTTCAGGGCTCCATCCTAGGGAGGATAAGGGGGACCCTTAAAAAGGGAACACCCTCTTCTGGCTCTCTTAAACAGGGACCTTATTCAGGGGGTCTATATCCTCAAGAAGTCCCCCTAATCCTAGCCCCTACTCCAGAGCGCACCAGTATGCCGCCCCCCCCCCCCCCCCCCCATGCAAGTGTGACACGCCTAAAATTCTCGCAGCACAGTACTTCGCGCAATCTCGCAGCTATTGCAGCAGTTTTCGCATCTAGCTTTAATCTCGCAGCTTCGCAGCTTCGCTACGGTTGTCCAGATTAAGCGTCTCGCCAGTCAGCATCCTGGTTTCGGCTGCAAAGTGCTTATACATGTTCATGATGTGAACTCTGCAGATGGTTTGGCCCGTGGCACATGCGGCACAGGAGACGCGTCCAAGTCAATGCACATTCACAGACTCGCACGTGAACTACTTGCCTTGCAGCCCAGCGTTGTCGTGACCGACTGAGTTGCAAGAATTCTGATCAGCTGGCGATTTCAGGCAGCTCTTGTGCAGCTTCATTGGTGGTGTTTGGGGCTTGGTATGGCCTTCATGTTTTGCTTTGACACTGCAAAACCCTGCATGTGTTGTATGCTGAGAAGCAGTTGATGTTCCTCCTTTGGTCCAGACATGTTATCATAATCTTGTGGTCGCCTCCTTCACAACCCCAGAACCCTATTCAAAGCCTGAGTCCTGAAGCCTAAGCCGTACTACCCTAGATATGGTGGTAGCGGCGCGTAGCTAGGATTGGATCCGGAAAATACCGATGTTGCAGGGAACCAAAGCTCTTTCTGGCCACCAAGCCCACAAGAATTGGGATGTTTCTCAGAAACGACCTCCGCGTAAAGCTGCTAATGCTCTCCAGGCCACGTGGTGAAGCCCATGTAAAAAATGCGATTTCTGACACAAGCGGTGGGCAGGCAATTTCAAAAGCATACTCTAAAGAACGATCGGGTTAAGAGTGCAACCCTATATGGCATCAGAGGATGGTTGAGGAGTCCCCGCATGCAGCGACACATTGCTGGATTCAGTCGTGAAACTTTTAGTATGTGACGGCATTTTACCAGGTGAGCAATGCCCACTGTATCATCCGTATTGGAAGCACTAGACAGATGTAGACAGGAGTTATGGAGGCATCTCCGGTATGCCGACGTAGCTGACCAGGTTGAGTAATGATGGTAATCTGAATTCCGAACGGTGGGATTTGTAGATGATCCCTCGCCTAGAAAATTTACATGCCACACTGGAGTTCCACTTCCAGAAATGGCGCACGGAATAGCCGCCTTTGCTGGAATGTGCTTTGGAGCTAAACTGTACAAGGGGATCATTCGAAATCAAAGCCTCTACCTACGAACACCCAGCTGTATGCAACAAAGGAATGGTAAGCCTGAACAAGAAACCTCGAGCAAATTCTGAAAAAGACATGTGCAGGACATGATTGGACAATGCAGTAACAACTGGACGATTCGTTTTAATTTTGCTGCTGCGGTAGGCACTTGAGCCTAGCTTCGTCCTTCAAAAATCCCGGCCGCAAGTGCTCAGCCAGCCAGTGATGAGATAACGCACGAGATGAACAGATCATTCTGTTCAGTCTGACACTGAAGTTTGGCATGTCTCCCGAGCGATTGGTTACAGGGATTCCTAGCTGCTTACCAGGACCTGAAGCCGGATGTTGAATTGCTGCAACTCAACTTTAAAGTTCCACTCGCTGGTTTGCGGATAGGGTTTGAAGGATACATACGTTCTGCGGAAACTTACGTTGTGTGCACGGGGCTTGTCCCAAAGACAAGAATGTTTTGAAAGCATGTTCCCTGTTGTTGCCTGGTAAAACAAGAAAACACAAGGCCTTTACAAGGAGTTAATTGAAAATTTGGTGATTTTTGTTTGGGTTTCTGAGTTTCCAAGGTTGGGAGGGTTAAGACTGAAAGGAGTCCTGGCCGCGATAAACAGTAGCTAAGGTTCTGTTGTATGTGGAGCGGCTCGAGCAGAGGGCCAAAGTCGTGCGAATCCCAGTGCCTGTGCTTCCTCTTGGCCCCAAGCATACGCATGTCGAGGTGGACCGCACTCGCCACGTCATGGAAGCGGCCATTGATGTCAACAAGGCACCCAAACATTCCTGACAGCAATGCAGTGCTCACACGTCTCCATGTGCTTGAGGAGGCAAGAAGTAATCAGCCGTTGCTTCGATTTCACAGATCGTCGTTCTGGAACGGAAGAGGAACCTCGTAAGATGAGAACCGGCCGAGAGGCATATCCCATGAAAGACCTGGCCTGTTTGAAAGCTGTCTTTGCTAGAAGGTGGGTGCGCTTGGCTTGCGAACAAACAGTTGTTGTGTCATCCAAACTATATTCGAAGGAAATGCCATGGAGAGGGCTGTGCAGTACGACTATTTTACACACTCTACACACACGCACACGACGTGTACTCCTTTCGAGAGTCATGTTGAAGACCAAATTCGAAATGAAGACGATGCGAAGCACTATTAGAGTCAGGTGCTGACAGGTTGATTCCGATTGAGTATTGTCGTACCAGCGCCCGCATAAGTTCAACTTGACAATAAGACTTCCCAGCTTCATCGTGGACCACAGGCCAAAACACTTGCCGACTTTGAGCAGCGTGTGAAGCACTTGTTCTCCGGGTTTTTCTGCGCCCGAGCCTGAAGGTGTGTTTATACAGCTGGTGTAAGAGGTTTTGTGTTGAGTGGGTCCAACGAGACCAAAGCTCAGTTGACCATGTCCTTGTTTGGAGTTAGGTGAACAGCATTCGCGTCTTGTTCTTTGATCCAGACTCGAAGAGCCTCCTCATATCATCCTCCCAGATGCGCAAGAAGGCCCCCGTTGCCTTCTTCAGTTGTTCCTGCATGTCGCATGGGGCAGTTGCGCTGATGCGATGCACCAGGGGTCAACTACCATCAGCCTCACCAAGGGCATCTTAGGGCAGTGTGCCCAAAAACAACAGGCGGAACCCATGTGCAGGTTAGCATTGTGACTTCGATTGCAGCGCTTGTACGCAGCAGGTTATCCATATACCTGACATTCACCAAAACCCGTTTGTCAGTGCCTCGGCATAGGCTGCTAGGTCCTGTCAGCGCTTTCTGTTTTGATGAGGCCTGAGGACACGAGATCGGGTGTCAGTGTCCACTCGGCACGAGGTCGAGCCTGTAACCGACGGGCTGCAGCGCAACGGTAAACCAGCGGGGACCTAAGAACATCTGAAAACGCTTTTTATCATTTCCCTTCACTCACTGGCCCTGACTTCTATTCATGGGGTCCATTTGGATCATCTTGGAGGTCAACAGTCATGCAGCGATGCTTGTCGGGCCGATGCTGGTGGAGTCTTCTCGCGGAGATGACAAATGGGGTGTCTTGGTGAAGTTCGGAAACTTGGGTCGGTCAGGGAAAGTTGAAAACTGGTACGTGATGCAGGGTAGTTTTGTTAATGTTCTTACTCGTACCTTCGAGTTCAGTTTCAACTTGTGGGCGTCCTCTATTTGAAGGGCTTTCTGGATCACCTAGAATCGCACGCCATGTTCACCCAGCTGAGTCACACTTTGCTACTGGCTCACGCTATGACGCTGCCTTGCTACTGGCTCACGCTATGACGCTGCCTTGACGGCGCAGGGTTCTCTTGTGGGCTCGTTGTTCTTTTTTCATTGTGTTTGTGCTGAGGACATTGCCTGCAGCAGACAGAGGAAAACGGAACAACGAAATAGTCCGTTTGTAGACTGGGAGGTTCGACGCTGGAAGATAGTACCAGGTTCTGAGAAACGATCGAATTTGTGAATATACCTCTTTGGGAGATTTCGGTGTGCAGGCGCGGGGCATCTGTCTGCCCGTGGGATTTGTGCTTTGCAGGAACATGCAGGAACGATCTCGGTCCGAATGTGCGCAACAAGACAAGACCCGTCCAGTACACCGTAAAGGCACTCCGTGGTGCTCGTGTGCAAACCTGCTCTCCCACAAGTTCTAGGCCCAAGGGCCTAAGTGTTTGCCCATCTGCCTTTTCTGTCTGTCCAGCACCTGGTCAGCCAATGCTACAGGCTAGCGGCGTTTGTGTTCTGGATGTGCTGTTTTGAGTGTTGTGCCCAGAACGGAATCGGAAAAGAAGGGTTGGAATGGTGCAGTGCTAGAGTCCGAGTGTGATCTCAACAGCACCGGCCCGTTGCATGGTCTCTCCAGTCTTATCCGCCTTATCCCAATCTGCATGTGTTTGACTGTTGCAAGCTGCGAGCAATTTGCCCGACATTCCCATTCGTCAGCAGTTCAGGTGGCCAGGAGTTGATGGGCGTGGTCCAGCTGCTGGAGAAGAAGCGGCGAGCTCCAGATGGAGCTGCGCAGCCGAGTTTAGGTCTCAGTCGAAAAGCACGAGGGTTTCTCTGTTGCGCGCATATCTGCCTGCTTGCGTGGCAATGGTTGGAACATGTTGCACTGCCTAGTGAAGTTTCATTGTGGAGGTTGCGTTCCCAGGGTTGGTTGGTTGATTGTCGATCACCCAACGTGTGCTGACCCTCACCTTTTGTGAACTCAAGATAATCGGCGGTGCGCTGTCATCGAATGCCAAATAAGGGCATCTGTCTGGTCGAGAAAATCTATGCATCGGCCGCATCGGCAAATTGTCTGTTCAGGTTCAGCGTCAGTTGGTGCACCAAGTGCTCGGGCATCACCATCACCCTCCCGCATGTTGGTCTGCGAACGCTACGACATACTCAAGAGTCGTGTCCGAAATCAGAATTCAGCTGGTGCGTGAGTTTCACACACAGTTTGTGAGGTTACGGTACTGGTACACGTCAGCAGAACCGTAAATAATCATGCGAAGGTTGTTGGTACCAACAGCACGTGGTCAGGTGCTTGAATATGTCACGTACCGGTGCCCATGTCAAGATGGAATCCCAGGAAGAAACCGTGTCGGGTCGTGATGTTGTTGAATTGCTGACCCGGTAGTTCCATGTTCGTTCAATTGATGTGTAAGTGGTCCAAGGTATCTCGGGCGCGAAGGTAGTGGATGAAGTTGCCGGGTGGGAGTTTGGCCTGGAATGGTACCGGATGGAGGGGACGCGTCCGTATTCAGTCTCTCATACGTAAGAATCAGACCGTCACCAGAGCAAAATATCGTTGTATGGTCGGCATCCGTATCGCGTCCCCACTTTGCTGGCACACGACACACCGCCTGTGCCAAAGAAAGTATCGAACGAAGTAGGATCTAGAAGATGAAGCGTTGTCCGCCTGTAATCCACATAGGGCTCAGATTGTTCTGAGGCTCAATTCAAAGAGCCAGTGCAGTGTCCGTGTGTGTGTGTGTGTGTGTGTGTGTGTCGATATCGTAGGCATCGCACCCAAACGGCGACTCGTGGCCTTGGTGGTAAGTTACGGACTACGCGTAGCCCCTCTGGCCAATGAAATAATCGTGGGTGTCGACATCGAAGACGGAGTAGCCAGGCACGAGCTTGCCGTTCTTGGTGAATACAGTAAGAGAGAATCAAACAGCAATGTCACCATTCCCTGTGTGCCATAGTACTTGCATGGCCTTGGTGGGAAGGTACCGGCTGGCAACGCCGCAGTAGATGGGGGAATGTTGCCCAGGTTTGAAATGAGGCTCGTTGTGTGCCACCTGGGCTCGCGGACGGTCATGCCCTAGGGCTGGTGCCGAATTTGTGGCCGAAGAAATTGGAATACGTATTCCAGTTCCACTCTGATGATGGCACAATCACGAATGCTGACAGTCAGATGCTGTGGTTCCATGCGATTTGTCCGGTGGAAGTGGAATAAACTTACTTGGGAATTTTGTAGATCTTCATGTATATAGATGTGCGTACCGAAGAACGGGAGCAAGGTGAGTTCACGACCGATGAGCAGAACCTGTTTCAGCAACTGTCCGTTGCTTACCTCGCTGGGTGAATAGGTGTTGCCGATCAGTGTTCTACATCAAGTTAATGCTCTTAGTGTGTTGGCCGCGATTTATCCCGCTTGGACTTAGTTTATTGATGTTTATTGGTATTTCGCAACACGAACCGCGACTAGGCTGACGGTTTGCTCACATGCGGGTTCAAGAACCATCAAGGCAGGAACTGCTCTGCTTGGAAATTCAGGGGCATGGATTGCATCATTTGCATAAAATGGCTGTGCCCTGCGATGATGGCAATCTTGCCGGCGAGGTGCAGCAGCTGTCAGCCCAACTTGCCGGAAGTCCCTACAACGTTCAGGCGCTACTGTTCGGATGAGGCGCCAAGCTGCGATTTGCAGGCTAACAAAGTCAGAGTTCCAGACCCTTGATGTACATCTTCGCGCCGTTCAGGCTGACAACCCCGGCGGGCTTCTGCGCAGACTTGGAAAACAGCATCCTTATGCGGTTGTCTAGCTTTCGTGTTAGCTAGCCACTCCATAAGGCAAGGAAATGCGCTCATCTCTGGATCTAGCATCGTTGTTTGCATTCAAGTTCCCCCTCTTTGCGCTTCAGCTTGTGCGACTGTGTTAGGGTTTTTTTGCTGCAAGGGCCTTCCAATGGCTTTGTCAAACCGTCTGCTTTGGCGAAGTGGGGCCATGAATCACGGGCAGTGGTGCTGTTGTCACGCAAGCGAGCAAGCCCCCAAGGTTCCCCAAGTCCTCAAGGCCTGGGGAAATAGGTTTGTTGTGTATCAGCCAAAGTTCAAGCAGGAAAGCTAACACACATCACGGAATGCTTGCTGAAGCTGTGCATGTGAGGTTGTATCTCAGCAGCCATTGGCTGTTGCAGTTAGGCTGCAGATAGGAGGCGAATGCCCCAAGAAAGGGCCAAGTGGCCTCGGGGGGTCCTTGCTGCAGCGACCTGCCTCGTTGCAAAGCACCAGGCGGGCAAATGGTGCGTTGATGTGTGTGTTGTCAGTTGACGTCGTGCCAATCCTGCTTCAGCAGCGAGCTTGCTTGCTGACCAGTCCAAACAAACGCACTCCAGAGTTGAGCGTTTCCCCTGGCTGATACAACTGCATGTAGTGACGTGCGATGGCATGGCGCGTAGTTGCTCGGAGGCCCAGATGCAGCACAGAACTCGCGAAACAGTTTCGCCGACAACGTCGTTTCTTCCTGTTGAGGAATTATGAGGAACATGGCAGGGAGGTCCGAACAGGCACACATGTTCGAGTCGATTTTGGCCCAGCGTGTCATACACTTGATGAATGTTCTTTAACAAACTAAAGGCCGACGCGAAGTGTGGGGTGTGTCTATTGACGGTCTCTGGAGCCCGTGACCTATGGCGTACAGGGCCTACACTGGCCCACTGAGGCCCTGGCTTTCGGGCTCGCTTTGGAAGAGAAGTGCAGACCTGCACAAAGGATAGTTATTTTTCCATTAAAAGTAGAAAGCAAGGCTAGGGACCTAGGGATTAGGACGCCGCACGAAGGATCGGGATGCAGCATGCCTGCAAGAGAGGACCTGAGACTGCCGATGCAGACTGGCTAGCAGCATCTAGCCACACCTAGCCACACCTAGGCACACCTGGCCACAGCGTACATACAATGAGGGTGCGCTGGGTATGCTTTCTGCTGACAAGCCGAGTTCCGAGCTGGCAGACTTGCAATTGCAGGTGGGCTTCATGATTTCTGGACGATCTGCCCCTATTGCGACCAAGACCGCGCCGCGGGTCAGAGGGTACTGTACATGTTTGTTTGCATGTGAGTGGCTGTTATGTGGCAAGTGTTGCAGGCAAGTCGACCTAATGCACTGGCACCGACCACGCCTGCACCTCGTCAGGTCTGCCCAGTCATCCTTCTGTTTGAGAGATGCACTACTGATGCACTTGTCCTTGTCCTGTTTGGCAGGGCTTCATGAAGAGGGTGGCCCCATTCTTGGGCTTTGCAGGCACAGTCTGTGCCAAACTTTGCCTCCGTGTAAGCAGCTTTGTTGATACCGACTGCAGGTTCGGCAGTGGCCGGTGCCAGCACTCGACGACATGCGGCTTCAACAGAGACATCTGCGCCGCAACAGAAGGTCCAAGAACTGGTGCAGGACGCTGCCTCGCTGCCTACAGACTCCCATTGTGCACCATGCTGCCGGCAGACTAACTTCTTTATGCTTGGTGCTGCGTGCTTGGGTTAAGGAGCACAGCGTGATCATGTTCTCAAAGACAACGTGCCCATTTTGCAGCCGAGTTCTTGCCTTAAACCTTTTTGTGGGTGGATGCCTGTACAAGCGATGCACAAGGCAGCGAGAACATGTCAAGGCAAAAGAAGTGCTGAAGGGGAGTGGAAGCAAGTTTGTCGTGGTGGAACTGGACGAGCTTCCACCACAGGAACGGGGGCCGTAGATCACCATTGCCGCTTCAGTGCAAGTGCTTGTTTCTTGTGGCAGGAGGCTGCTGCAATGCAGGCAGTGCATCACAGCGCAGAGCCAGAGGGTTGAGGTAGATAAGAATGGCCGTTTACTATTTTCCAGGATGTTTTCGCGGACATGACCGGGGCGCGCACAGTCCCCCGCGCTGCTTGCATTGATCTGTTTCCACGGTACCGCTGCCCATTACCATCTCACATGCAGCCGAGATTTTCGTTCGTGGAGAGTGCCTTGGTGGATGTGATGATCTGCTCGCGATAGAACAGCAGGGCGGCTTGCAGAAGGTGCGAGAGCTGAGGCAGAGTGTGGTGATATTGTGAAGCAGGGTAGCAATGACTTGCCTCAGGTGTTGACTGGAAAGTCTTTTCAGATTCAACGATCGGAGGTGGGGCAAACACATAGAACTGTCCTGCTTCCCCAGGTTGTGAGGTCAGGCTGCCTGACTGCATAGGCAGAGTGGCGTGCAAAGCTGGATCCGCGAAGTTACCGGGTGCCCCGGCTGTCGGAAAATCGGGCTTTGGCAATGAGAAGAGGGCGAAGATGAAGGAAGACAGAGCATCCCAGAACGATGTAACGTAGAGCTGAGGGAGGCCGGGTGCCAAGTGGAGTGGACTCAGAGATATTCAGAGCCTCTAAGTCTCTCTTTCCCTCTCGCTCTCTTCTTCTCTCTCTCTCTCTTCTTCTCTCTCCTCTCTCTCTCTCTCTCTCTCTCCCTCCCTCCCTCTCTCTTTCTGTCGGACTTAGGTGCTGCGGCAGCAAGGCACGGAGCCGCCTGGGTCTCACCAGTACGACCGCTTCATGCCCACGAAGGCAGCGATGCCAAGTATGAGACCAAGCAAGCAAGCAGCAAGAAGCGTACACTCTAAGAAGGGTAGCAACAAGCAGCGTCAGAAGGGAGTCCTGCGCCATGAGATGTATATGATGTATGGGGACAGTCGCAGGGCCACTTCGCATGTGGAGCCTGTGGTCTTCCGAGCCTTGGCACAGTTTAGCTTTGGAAAGAGCTGTTAAGTCTGTTTTTGCATGGTCCTGGAATGCCAATTTGTCTGTAACGCGGTTTGCGCTTGCTTCAGGCTCTACTCAGCAAGCTCAAAGTTTCGGAGTAACTGTGGCTGGCCTGTCTTCAAGACATGCTACTTCTCAGAGGCCGACTTGCTCAAGCTTTCTTTAGCATGGATAGCCGATGCGTGTTTGACAAGGAGGCTGGCGGCTGCCACGTCGGCACCGTTCAGGAATTCGGCGGGCTGGAAATTGTTTGTAATCGCTGCGCGTCGCATTTGGGCGAACTGCTCAGACATGCTCAAGTGATATAAAGTGTCACGTCTTCTGAGAAAGGGGAAAAGAAGCAAGATGAAGCAAGTCAGGTGCATGCTCTGATTTCTTAGGCCACGTCTTCTTCGATGCTTACAAGCCTGACAACCCGAATGGAGAGCGACACTGAGCCAACGGGCTCTCCCTGACCTACGTCGAGGCAAGACAGTGCGTGTTCCAGACTAGAATTGGCAAACGCCCGTCGAGCCTAAGCAGTGCAAAGACGTTGAGACATCGAGAAAGCTTGGATTGAACAAACAAAGTACCAAAGAATATCAAAGAATCTTCCACCAGGGAGAGCCTGACATGCAGCTGACCGAAGGAAAGGCGTGGAAAGAGTCAATGTTGCTCCACTTTCTGCATTGCAGCTATGTCAAAGCTGCTTGAAGGTGGACTTGAACAAGCCCGCAGCAAAGAGCGCTGGTGGCACTTGCGGCTTAATGTAAGGCGCACCTGTGGACCTGTGAGCCGGCAAAAATTGTCTCCGCCACGCCTTGTGAGGTAGTGGCGCAAAACATGCGAAGCTTTTGCCGATTGTCAGGACGGTTGCTGTGTGCACCGGGGGGGGGACTGACCGGTTTACAGCGTTCGCAGCTGTCAGGTAGGTATGGTGTGAACTCGGTGAACCTCACTCTCGACACTGTCGAATGATGGAGGCCCCTATCTCATGTGATGCGGCTGGTTGGTCCTTGAGAAAGGCGCCGAACTTGTTCCGGCACCGTACTAGTCGGATCTAGGATTAGGTGCGGAGTCGCGGAGTTCACGAAATGTGTGTCTTACACCCCAAATTCAATACGCGCTTTCGTAGCTCTGTTTCTCACACAGAGCCTTGTTTCGTAAACCAGAGCGGTTTGTTTGGATTAAACACACGCCGGAGACAACGAGAACACACATTCGGCCAACAAATGGTCATAAGTCTCCCCGCCATGAGGCGTTCGTTATGGCAAGGTAGATCAATGACACGGTGGGAGAGCATTTCGTTTGAGGGGAAGGCATGTCTAGACAAGAGCGCTTTGTTTTGGGTACACTTGCGCGCTCAGCACGATTTAAAGAGGCACTACTGTTATGACAACAGCAACAAAGCCTGTGTTTGTCTTGATAGGAGGTCGCCCCTCGTTGTGGGGGTGGTAGATGTTAACTCAGCTACTCTCCTTGGGTCACCTGGCCGAGTCTCTTCCCGATAAGCCCGCAGAGCATCCTGCAGTGCCCCTCGGAAAATGCCTTAAAATCCTGCCCAGCCGTCGAGCTTCAGATTTTCCAACACCGAAGCCCGAAGAGTATCCGTAGTTTTAGGGTGGGATGTTGGAGGCAAACAGTTTCAGCTGACATATATTCTGACATTCTCGTAGCTTGCGTCTGCCAGATACCAGCTGTTCGAGAGCCGACCCGCAGTTGATCTATGGGCTTGCTTTTGTGCGGCAGTTCAGCAGGTTGTGACACAATGCGCACAAGTCAGGGCATCCAATCAAGGTTCATCACCAGTGATGGGCAAGGACCTTTGGCAGTTTTTGTGATGTCTGAGGTGTTAGATGGTGTTCGGTTCCAAACATTTTGCTGGGGGGAAGCTCGAGAGTATAAGATGATGGATAAAGTTATCATCCGCCGAATCGGGGTTGAAGAGCTTTGCTGTTCCCCATCGAACACGCATCACTTGTTGTGACAACCAAACCTCAGGATGTTGTCTCGCACCTACAGATCCAATGCTTTTGCGTTCGTTTACTGCCGATCATGCATCATGATGTCGTGCGCAGGTGAGGCGTTCTATGCCAGCCAAACTGTTTCAACCGGCCGAGCATCCTAAGTGCTGTCGTTCCGCCGAGACATCGAAGGCTTCTGGCTTTTTCGGACTCAATCTGGTTGTACGCATCTTGTGTCGCACTTGTTTTTCGAGAAGAATAAACACGTCTCAGCAAGGACGACACTTTAAGTGCCGTGTAGTCTGCGGCACCTAACAATTTTCGACATTGCGTCACACACTGTGCAGCCGAGAACGCCAAAAGGCCAGGCCATGTGGTATTCATGGTCGGGTTTGTATTGTAGCCTTTGGGGACAGCAGGGTCCCGGCAAGGTTGCTCATGCCCATTGCCTTCAGCTGTTTGGCTGATTTTAGCGGTTTGGCCTCTGAAGACTTGCATATCACAGTGAGCCCGGCCAGCGGAGTCCGCTTTAGTGCTCAGAACTGTTTATCTGTGGTGCAGCCCAGCATGAGCACACGCAGCAATGGCAATGCATGCGGAAGAAGACGCTGAGCTTTTCAGCTGTGGCATTTGCTGAAGGACCGGTCGCCTCACAAGATCTTCACTTCTCACTTCTCCATCACAGTCTTGTCAAAACTCTGAGTTCCGAGTTGTTTGTCTCGAGGAAGCTGCTGAAGACGAGGAGGTGGATCAACTCGGTGGCTTTGTGTACGTTGCAAGATGTTGCAAGATGGTTGAAATTCATATGCTTTGGGAATGCAGATCTTCAGGGCCTCGTGTTTCGAGTTTCCAGTGCTCAGGAATGTTGCGGCAAGGAGGTTTGGGAAGGGCGCACATACAGACGGGGGCGGCGAAGCTGCCTTGGGATCAAGCAGCTACAAGTGTTCAATATCCTTGATATGGTTTGCAGCGATAATGTGCATTGAATGTACTTTTTACCCGCAGCTTACGCCCTGGATTCATCTGACCAGCTGGCAAGCTTCAGTGAAGAAAGGTTGCGCCCGACATCGCCTAAACGTTAGACTCACTAGACTACACGTCTATAAGCTCTGACCTGATCTGGTTGAGGGTTTGGGATGTCTTGGGGCTGCCTTGGGATCTGGGCCCGACACAAGTTCCATTTGACGTTGCGTTGCCGTCTCCACCACTTGTAATGGCCATTTGATGGCCTTTGCACGAGGAAGGTTTGTGAACGGGGATCAAATCCTTTGTGGCTACTGTGAGCTTTGCTTCGCTCCACCCACCCACACCCACCCTAAATCTCGCGTTGCCCCACAAAGCACCCGGTTTCGGGGAGAGCCCATCAGCAGGGTGCTTGCGGGTACACGGGCAACCAGACATGTGGGTACACAGGGAACCAGACATGTTAAATTTCCACCTTCTCCGGGTGTCCGTCATCCGCAGTTTTGGGAACGTGGCCTTGATGCATCTCGTTCGGTCGATGCCGGGGTTGCATCACGCAAAAAGGATCACTCAGTCGAACGCCCGTTCTTGACTTGCGATGGCGACCGCGTCCGCGTCTGAGCGTGATTGTCCTGGTTGTTTATGCTAGCAGCCATGCCCAACAAACATTCGTTATTGGAACCTTGCCACTCGCGGATACTGCGATGGGCGCCGCACCCGTCGCTGAGCTTCGTGCCGTTTTTGGTCTTGATCCGCTTCGGCGTACCCTCCTCACGTGCCCTGTGTACCTCATTGTGCGTTAACGGTGGCTACAACATCAGCATGCAGGTTCCACTGCTTTGTTGCCGCACACCTTTTGAGAGCAACGGATACTCAGCCTGCGACAACTGCTGCAACATCACGTTCGTAGGGCCCGTCTGTCAGGCGGCTGCCGCGTGTGAGATATGAGATGCGCCGATGTGCGAATGGACTTGAGACCGGCCCTTTCTGTACATACAGCATTGTTGTTCATTGTTGCGATTGTACGTACGTTTGAGTGACTACGTTCTTGAGCATTGCATGTCGCTACCGAAACTTCCTTGTTCTTTTCACGTATTTGCTTGTTGTTTGTTGACTTGAAGCTGACATTCACTTGGATTGTTTCACAATTCTGACCATGACTCATGGTGCTTCTAGCGCCCGCAACCTCACGTTTGGGGCTTGTCAACGCCCTCCTCTGCCAGCGCTACCTGGCCTGCCGCTGCCTCTTTTGGAGGGGTGTTCGGACGGATCCCCCCCCAGCACTGGCGACAGGAGGGATCTAGGCCTGATATCTAAGGCATCCACCTTTATTCTTGGATTTATTCTTCACCTTTTCCTTTTCATATATCATTAGCTTCATGATATCTTAATTGCCTAAGAATCCATCTATGAATATGAGAGTCAAAATTGAGATTTCATGGCCAGGCGTATCCATCTTAGCAAAGTTCCCACCCTAGCTGTTTATAATCCAAGAAATATGAATTAAAATGCGAAGAGGAGAAATCGTCAGTGGGTGTTCGCTCCGGTGTTGTTGCAGCTCGCGGGTACCTCGGAGATGCCGTCCCCTTGATCTCGTCACCTCATCCTGGAGTCCGCTGGAGTCCGCTGCTGCGCTCCGCCTTCTTCCTTCCATCGCCATGTCGGGGGCGAAGCGTCTTGATTTGCTTGTGGATTCGGCAGTTGCGTTGCAGTCCGCTGCACATGGACGATGCCACTTTCGGTTTGTCGGCTGCGAAGTGCAGAAGCCCTTCTCGGGGTTTGACAATATGTAGATACACACACACACACCCACACTAACAATTGGGACCGAATTCTGGCAGCTCAATGCCCTACTGTTCGATGAGCTCTTAAGATAGCAAGCGCAGCAGCTAAATCTGAACAAGCAGCTGACCCTGGTAAGCTAAACGGCTAAATGCCGTTCTCCGCTACCTTGGCTTTGTTGTTGAAGTAGATCGGGCCCTACAACCTGCTGCAAGGTGCGGGGTTCCGGGATTTGCTTGTCCAAAGAACATGACAGGTAAGCCTTCGACCTTGCCTCATGATGGTGCAGGCTGGCTAAAGCCGACTCAGCATGTTGCCAATCACATAAAACAAATCAGCTAACTGCAGGTCTGCCTGCTGGATTTCCCTTGGGTGTTGGACTATATCTTGGCAACGCGATTCAACTGCTCTTTGCGACAAATTCGTCATGCAGTATGCAGCATAGCCCGGCTCTTACTTCTTGAGCGATTGGGTGTGGTGTGAGTGTGTTGACTTTCCAAGGTAGATCGGAGTAGTTGGTGCACTAGTGCCAAGATATTTTCGACATGTGGGTCTTGTCTAGATAGGCATGTTCTCGAATTGTCCAGGCAAAGCATGGCGTCATGGCGTTCGCAGCAGCCAAACGCATTTCAACACCATAGCTCAGGTGCTCACGCTGCGGACCATCTTGTCAGCAGCAGTCGAGCGCGCTGCTTGGAGTTCTGACATTGTCCCTGAGAGTTGCGAATGGAACTGTTTTTGAGGTTGGGCCTACTGGTTTCTCAAGACTCTGATGCTGATGGATCCATCTCGGCAAAACCTTTCATCGATAACATGATTCACGTTATCAGTGAGTGCCTTGCCCAGACTAGCCTTGTTTCCTCTGTGGGTGCATCTTTTGCATTGACCGTACGGTGAGGTGTTTGAAGAACTTCCCGCTTTGCTTGGATTCGGAGTTCTTCCACTCGTTCCTGGAGCCACTGCCAGCCTCCAAGTGGTCACCGCCAGTATGGCTCTCGTTGTTGGTTCCGCCGAAGGACGGTACGCTCCATACTTTTAACGCCAAGCCAATCCATCACGATCCGTTGTTCGATATTGCTTCTACTACCGTGCCTCCCACTATATATTCGTAGCACTATGCATCTTACCACTGTTACTATCACTTAGCTTATTCTGACTACTTTTGAAATACAAATTCAACTTCTATCATTGTGATGTTTAATTTTGATTATTTCCATGGTGTGTGTTAGTATTCTTTGTATTTGCATTATTATTGTTATTATTGTTGGTATCACTGTTTTTTCTTGCTGTCACCATTTGTATTGTACATATTGTTCTCACGATTATTATGAGTATTATTCTTACTATCATTCTGATTCTTGATTTATTGTGACTATTACCATTATGGTGACTGTGATCAGTCTTACCGTTATTGCTTGAGTACTAATGTTCGTTATTATTCGTACAACTTGTGGTTTTTTTCTTATGTTTCCCGCAGGTGTAGCAGAAGGGTTTCCGTGGTGACAGTGGGGATTCCCCCTTCTCGGCTCGAGGGGGCGGTTGGGAAAGCCAGTTTCAGCCATGCCAAGGCATGCCAAAACCATCCTTACCACCCCCCCCCCCACCCTTCTCGGCTCGAGAGGGGGCATTCTTGAGATTATCGGAGAGGCTGGAAGCCCTGCAGCAGCACTTGTGTGCAACTGCGCATGTTTCGGCCTTCAAAGAGCTTCAACATCTAGATGTCATCATGATTGTGCAACGGGGGACCCAGAAATAGTGAGTGTTTTGATCATGTTGTCTTCCGATCTTGCTCTCTGGTCCCAAGATCTGTTTGCCCGTTTGGGGCAGCAGCAACTTGATTGACAGATGCCAGGTCAAATTTCTACTTGTATACAAAAACTCCCCGTGGCGCAGTCCGAGTGAGCGACAAGTCAAAGGAAACTCCAGGTTTTTGTTGCTCCTTTCTCCTGGGACTGGCCGAATATCGTGCAATAGCATGCAGTCGCAGCTCAAACTGTCGTGGCTTCTCCTGTCAGTGGCAAAGCATATTTCCTTGAAAGCCATTGTCAGTGTATCTTTCGGTGAGGAGGCGCAGGGCCAGCTAGGAATAGGCATTACGCAACACAAGATGCCGAGCTCCAGACGGTTGCAAATACAATATGCCGGTGGGCCAACCGACGAGTCGCCTTTGCGTTTGCGATTGCACTTCAGCAGATCGTACTTTTAACGCTACGCGACCCGCCTCGGCCGGGCCTGGTCAGAGGAACCGATTTGCTGGTGGCTTGGGGTCTTCTGCTGGCTTGGCTCTGGCGTTCTTGGGTCGTGCCCCTGGACGAACGACAAGCCTGGCATGAGTGGGGGCTACATGTCTCAGTCGTGACCTGCCATCAACACCTGAACCTTCCAGAGGCGTCTCCGGCGCTATACCCGCAACGCCAGGTCAACAACCACGCCGCCTGTCACCCGCGCTGGGTAGCAAGCCCTTGAGAATCCGAGAAGCAACCATAAAGCCATGGCGCTTCTAAGATTGCGCGACATGTTCTGCCTGAGCAAAACATTGGAGTCCAGAGCTTTGCAGTCCACGCGGGTGGAGAAGGAAGTGCATCGGCCCCCAAGAACCATGCATGCAGGTAGCGCCGGTAGGGGTGAAGGTTAGGGTTAGAAGGGAGGGGGCGGCCACACATGCCCCCTGTTCTTGATGCACCGTCCGCTCCCGGACACCTGTTGGCCGGGGAAATTGCCTATTTCAAGCAAGAATGTAACAAACAAAAGGACGCAAGCGCATCAGGTGTGTTGGGGAAGGAATGAAAGGTGGTCTGCCTGCTTTAAGCTACCCAGACACGAATGGCCAGAGGGCAGCAGATGCTCACGTGACCTTGTCTTGGAGTGCTCTCAGGCCCAGCCATCTGAGATTCCTGTGTGGAAATTTTCACCCCTTGACGCACATGCAGTTTGAGGACGCTCGCACTCAAGTCGAGAGGTTCACATGCCGGAAAGCTTTTTCTACATCTTTGCAGCCTTTCCATGACTAGGACTCTGCCAAGCAAAAGGCCTTTGAAGCGCAAACGAAGGCCGTAGTCTCGGCTTTTTGACTTTCCGGGTCTGTCGTGTGGCTGCGGCTCCCTTGCAAAGGCAATAACGCAGGCTTTGTCTGAGCTGCCGTCGCAGTGCCAATCGCTTGGTGATGCTTTGTGCTTTGAGAGCAGAGACTCCAAGGGATGCTTCGTTTTGGCAGAACAGCACAGAACAGGTTCCAACTTGGAACTTCATATGAGCTCACAAGAGCCTGTGCTCAAGCAGATACAGCTTATCAAGGACCGGTCTTCAGACTTAAGGGTTGCATGCTTGAGGCACCGCAAACACAGCTTTCAAGACTTTCAAGGAGCATCTGCGAGCACCTCTCTGGATGCTGATGCACGACTTCCGAAGCCTGCAGGGCGAGGAGAAACTTCTCGTTGAGGACGGCTTTGTGAGCAGTGGCTCTTGACTCGTCATTGACTCGCCGAGTTGGGCTTCCAGCGTTTGCCAGGATGTGCGACAAGCTGTCCGGGCAACTGCAGAGCTCCAGGCCAGCAGTTGAATGCTTTGGTTCAGACATGTTCGGACGACCACGCGCATGATGCCACCAATGCTTTAGCTGCTGAGGCACGCGAAACGGGCGAGCTCCCATCCTGGCCACAGGTATTGGGTGACACGCTGCTCTTGCTGCTCCGTTCTTAGCCACTATGGACATCCCCAGTCTTTTTCTCCACCTGCATCATAGAGCATGATACATAACATGCGCGACGCAGGACAACTTGTGAACTTGAGATTTCTTCGCCTCCATTGCATGTTTCAATGACTTTCTTTGTCCAGCCAATGGGCTCAGGCTGCCACTTTGGAAGCTGTCCGCGCTGGCAGTTGCCAAGGGCCAGGCAGGATAATGTACGCACATGTTGCAGCCACTTAGTAAGCCCTCAAGTTTTCCTGGCTTCCTGAGTTGATTCCACAGGCTTAAGCCTTTAAGGCCCTCGAAGCCTGAATCTTTGACGGTTGAAGCCAAAGGCCGCTTAAAGCCTCAGTTTAGAAGGAAGAGGAGTCCATGATCCGCAACCCACAAAAGCTGGTGAAACAGAACAAAACCCCTGGAAACAAAAAGACTTTGCGTTGCCTTTTAGCACATTTGCTAATCTGGCGTCGTTTCAGTGGATCTTTCTCTTGCAGGAAGCACTGACGCATTTCGTCGCTGGACCACCACTGGGCGCCCTGTAGTTCGCTGTGTCGGCAGTGCGTCGTCAGAACGAAAATGCCTCAGTGTTGTGAACTTTGCGAGGTGCAAACTTGGGAGCTCAGCGTCTTCTGAGACGGCTCATTGAAGTCTTACTGAGTGACAAGGACACTGGCCGCAATGTGTGCGCATTTTATGTTCTCAGCATGACCTTGCTTGCCGTAGGCGGATTTCATGGACATCGCTCTTTGGTTTGCAGCCGAACCTTCGTCTGCAGCAGCCTCAGAGCTTCCCAAAGCCTCAGCCACGTACATGTATGTATGCACGTGTGTATGTATGCATGCATACATGTATGTATGTATGTATGTATGTATGCATGTGTGTGTGAGTGAGTGTATATATGTATGTATGTATGTATGCATGGATGTATGTGTATATTTATATGTATACTTATGAACAAATAGACTCGCTCCGCACGTTGATGAGAGAGCCCCCCCCCCCCCCCACCGCTACCCCGGCTGCCTCCCACTTGCAAACGCGGCGTATACGACAGTCATCAACTGCATACTGTTCCATACTGTTCCCCATTGCATAGAGGAGACTGCTGGTATCCTCTGCTTGTAGGTCCTCTGGCCTCCGAAGATACGAAAGGAGTATATCAGAGTCTGGGCTCCCCAATTCACATTATGTATGTATGTATGTATGTATGTATGTATGTATGTATGTATGTATGTATGTATGTATGTATGTATGTATGTATGTATGTATGTATGTATACATATATATATATATATGCTACCCCCCCCCCGTAGCGCCCCCCGTAGCGCCTAGGTTTTACTTAAAAAAGAGTGTGTTTTTCGTAGGATTTACAAAAAAACGTGTTTTTTGAATCGCATGAACGGAATGGAGGATACTGCCCAACACATAGGCGACAGACGCAGCAAGCAGTGCAACACGGCGTGCGACGGAATCATGTTACACGTGTTTTTGCTTCTGTGCTAGAAAAGACAGGCCTGTAGTTAAACTTGTTCATACACTACATTAATTAAAACATAATGCGTAATAGGGAACCTGACCTAGTGGCTTCACTTAAGCATTCATTGAATGAGCTAACAAGCACAGTACTTTATTTAACTAAACTTTTTCGTTTCTGGAAAATAACATACGTACAGTCTTTCCAACAGTTTGATTAGTCTTCTGAAGGTGTTTTTGCTTCTGTGCTAGAAAAGACAGGCCTGTAATTAAACTTGTTCATACACTACATTAATTAAAACATAATGCGTAATAGGGAACCTGACCTAGTGGCTTCACTTAAGCATTCATTGAATGAGCTAAAACATGTTCCTTCTTCTTTTCGTGAACAAGCACAGTACTTAATTTAACTAAAGTTTTTCGTTTCTGGAAAATAACATACGTACAGTCTTTCCAACAGTTTGATTAGTCTTCTGAAGGTGTTTTTGCTTCTGTGCTAGAAAAGACAGGCCTGTAATTAAACTTGTTCATACACTACATGAATTAAAACATAATGCGTAATAGGGAACCTGACCTAATGGCTTCACTTAAGCATTCATTGAATGAGCTAAAACATGTTCCTTCTTCTTTTCGTGAACAAGCACAGTACTTAATTTAACTAAAGTTTTCGTTTCTGGAAAATAATATACGTAAAGTCTTTCCAACATTTTGATTAGTCTTCTGAAGGGTTAAGTAAATAAATTGAGTTCGTAGACCAATAATTAACTAAAGGAATTCAATGAACTAAACTTACTAAGAACAGTAACTACGGCCTTTTGTTTGCTGATATTACTGTAGTCGAAATGATTTCAATTGCGGATTTAGTTTACTTAAAGGTGAAGCAAATGAATGAAACTAATTAGTATACCCTTAACTAAACGAATTCGATAATTTAAATTAAGCAAGCCACGATCCTTAACAACAACTCAATTGGTTCAGCCTGACTAGATTAATTACTTTAAACGAATACTTTAATAGGCCTTCCCAAGAAACAACTACATTTAGTTTCTTATTCTAAGAGGTAGATAGCATTCAACTAACTAAATGTCTATCCTTTTTTTACTTCAACCTCAACCAGACTAAATGAATGACAGTTGTAAAACAAATTAGATTAATTAAAGCCTACTTATCAGGAAACTTGACCTCGTCGCGCCATTCAGGCATTACATCGATTAGATAAAATGTTACTTACATCACAGTTTTTAACAAATAGTTGAATTAGCTTTATTGCTGCTGAACTGTGCTCTCTGAACAAACAAAAACCAATTCTGGAGGCCTATAATTACAAGGCAGGCCGTCACGAAAAGATTGGTTTTTAGGGACAGTACAGCACTTTGGGGATCTGAAGGGCTGAAAGTGCTGTACTGTCCCTAACAAAGCAATCCCAGAAGCGGAAAACGCTGTACTGTCCCTAAAAAACCTAAAAAACCAATTCTGGGGACCTGTACAGGCAGCCCCTCTTCAAAAGATTGGTTTTTTAGGGACAGCACAGCACTTTCAGCACCTCACTCAGACCCTCAAAGTGCTGTACTGTCCCTAAAAAACCAATCCCATAAACATAAAGTGCCGTACTGTCCCTAAAAAACTTAAAATACCATTTCTTGAGGCCTATACAGGTAGACCCTCACGAAAAGATTGGTTTTTTAGGGACGGTACAGCACTTTCAGCCCCTCAGGCCTTCAAAGTGCCGCACTGTCCCTAAAAAACCAATCCCAGAAGCAGAAAGTGCCGTACTGTCCCTAAAAAACCTACAAAACCAATTCTGGAGGCCTATACAGGTAGACAATCACGAAAAGATTGGTTTTTTAGGGACAGTACAGCACTTTCAGCACCTCAGGCCTTCAAAACAGGTAGACCCTCACGAAAAGATTGGTTTTTTAGGGACAGTACAGCACTTTCAGCACCTCAGGCCTTCAAAGTGCCGTACTGTGTAGACCAATAATTAACTAAAGGAATTCAATGAACTAAACTTACTAAGAACAGTAACTACGGCCTTTTGTTTGCTGATATTACTGTAGTCGAAATCATTTCAATTGCGGATTTAGTTTACTTAAAGGTGAAGCAAATGAATGAAACTAATTAGTATACCCTTAACTAAACGAATTCGATAATTTAAATTAAACAAGCCACGATCCTTGACAACAACTCAATTGGTTCAGCCTGACTAGATTAATTACTTTAAACGAATACTTTAATAGGCCTTCCCAAGAAACAACTACATTTAGTTTCTTATTCTAAGAGGTAGATAGCATTCAACTAACTAAATGTCTATCCTTTTTTTACTTCAACCTCAACCAGACTAAATGAATGACAGTTGTAAAACAAATTAGATTAATTAAAGCCTACTTATCAGGAAACTTGACCTCGTCGCGTCATTTAGGCATTACATCGATTAGATAAAATGTTACTTACATCACAGTTTTTAACAAATAGTTGAATTAGCTTTATTGCTGCTGAACTGTGCTCTCTGAACAAACAAAAACCAATTCTGGAGGCCTACAATTACAAGGCAGGCCGTCACGAAAAGATTGGTTTTTTAGGGACAGTACAGCACTTTGGGGATCTGAAGGGCTGAAAGTGCTGTACTGTCCCTAACAAAGCAATCCCAGAAGCGGAAAACGCTGTACTGTCCTTCAAAAACCTAAAAAACCAATTCTGGGGACCTGTACAGGCAGCCCCTCTTCAAAAGATTGGTTTTTTAGGGACAGCACAGCACTTTCAGCACCTCACTCAGACCCTCAAAGTGCTGTACTGTCCCTTAAAAACCAATCCCATAAACATAAAGTGCCGTACTGTCCCTAAAAAACTTAAAAAACCATTTCTTGAGGCCTATACAGGTAGACCCTCACGAAAAGATTGGTTTTTTAGGGACGGTACAGCACTTTCAGCCCCTCAGGCCTTCAAAGTGCCGCACTGTCCCTAAAAAACCAATCCCAGAAGCAGAAAGTGCCGTACTGTCCCTAAAAAACCTACAAAACCAATTCTGGAGGCCTATACAGGTAGACAATCACGAAAAGATTGGTTTTTTAGGGACAGTACAGCACTTTCAGCACCTCAGGCCTTCAAAGTGCCGCACTGTCCCTAAAAAACCAATCCCAGAAGCAGAAAGTGCCGTACTGTCCCTAAAAAACCTAAAAAACCAATTTTGGAGGCCTATACAGGTAGACCCTCACGAAAAGATTGGTTTTTTAGGGACAGTACAGCACTTTCAGCACCTCAGGCCTTCAAAGTGCCGTACTGTCCCTAAAAAACCAATCTTTGGAAGAGGGCCTGTCTGTATAGGCCACCAGAATTGGTTTTTTAGGTTTTTTAGGGACAGTACAGCACTTTCTGCTTCTGGGATTGGTTTTTTAGGGACAGTACAGCACTTTCAGGACCTCAGGCCTTCGAAGTGCCGTACTGTCCCTAAAAAACGAATCTTTTGAGGAGGGCCTGTCTTGATAGGCCTCCAGAATTGGTTTTTTAGGTTTTTTAGGGACAGTACAGCACTTTCAGCTTCTGGGATTGGTTTTTTAGGGACAGTACAGCACTTTCACTCCTAAACCCCAAACCCTACAAGAGGCAAGTCATCTGAGGCCGGTACCTGAGACAGGGAAGAAAATGAGACCTAGGTACTTGGGGGGGGGTACCATATATATATATATATCTATATTACGTACTGTTAAAGACATATGTGTGGAGAAATCTTACGTATGTAGACGTATATGGGGTAAACGAATTAATATACATGTGTACATATATATATATCTACACGTACATTTTTTCATTTGCAGGTTTAGTACTTGTCTTTTGGCGGAGTTGGTGAAATTTGTGAGGCAGCCTTGCTAACCAGCGGGGAGGCAGTTCACTTCCTCCTCCCGGAGGCCAAGGGCGATCTGATGATGTTTTTCTCATCGAGGAGAGCGAATGCAGGCGGCTAATGACGATGAGTTCGCGAGCTTTCGAAAAGCCCGTGGCTCAGGGAAGTCGTGGCCACCATCTGGTCGGACCGCTTGCAAGAAGATGAACGCTGAGGATGGCCTTTTGCGCACGCAGGACAATCTTGCGTATTTGCAGGGACATCTCCTCAGGCGCGGCAATTGCAGTTTCTGCCAGACAGTCGTTACGATGCGAACTGTGCTGAGAATTCCATGGTTGATTGCGCAGACTCGCACAGCGCAGGCTGCCAAAGCATCTGAGAGTTCATGTTTCCGCTTACTGGCGGAAAGCTGTCGAAGAGGTCGACGCACTTGCAGGAGTATTCCCGCTCAGTTCGGAGCCATGCCAGGTCCACTTATATCTGCAGTTATACCTCAGAGTCATTGAGGTGGAGGGAGTTCAGCAGCCTTCGCAGAGTGCGGTAACAATTCATAGGTGTGTAGTCTTGCATGCTTCAAAGGTGAAGGGTTGGACGTTGGACAGCCTTCCCTGTCAGGCCTTTCTGGAGGTACAGAAAGAGGCCAAGGGGACCTGATGCTCATACTTGAGCTGCTTAGAAAACAACTTTGGTGGCACAGGTCCACACCTTTGTCCAGACTCAATTGTTCATGGAGGTGCTGCTCGGTCTGTTCGGGTCCTAGATCGACTGAGTGCCAAACATGAGAAAAAAAACTGATCTGTCTCTGAGAGGTTAGGAGAGGGAGAGGCGGGAGAGGGATCTCGTGGCTCAAGCAAGAAAGGACACCGGCGCGGTTGAGGTCGTGGGGGGTGCTCACTCAGACGCGCTGGTATCTGAAGACCACCGCATTTTTGGCGCCGCGTTGTCTTTTGGCAGATTTGCAACAAGACATGAGAACGGCTCCTTTTGCTGCTCTCAAGGCCGACTGATAAGCACTCCACGGGGCCCCCCAAAAAAGGCACCTGGTAGGGTAAGAATGACGGTCTGCATGATTGTCAGACCGATTGTCTAACCATTTGAGTGTCCGACTATCTGCTTTTTCATCTTGCACCCCATTCGAATGCTTCAACAGCTCGGGGTGCTCGGGGAGAGTCGGGCGACGCCCGTCCAGTTACCTGCTACCCCTTTCGGCGACCCCTTTCCGACTCGACCCCAAAGTTACCCTGTGGATTGGGTTTCGTCCCCTCATTGTGCCATATGCCGCGAATCCATTCGTAGTGGGCGGGTCACCTTCAGAATCCCTTTTCCCTTCCCCTTAAAAGCATCGACCTTCAGGGAATTCGCCATCAGCCTGCGCATGCTGGCAAGCGTCAAGCCGCACACGCACGTCCACGGCCCGCGGGGGCTCCGTGAGAGTCTGGCCCCAGGCCGAAACTGACCCCACCGGGGCCACAGTGACACAGCACCCGAGCTCTTGCAACACGAAAGGCACGGGGAGAACAAACACCGCCGCACGCAGATGGGTCGTGTCCCAGACCGCAACATACCGCAACCGGCTCAGGCTGGACCACGCCTTCGCACGCGTCCGTGGGCACCAAAATGCGACTCTGCGCTTCCCTCTGCTTCGGACACCTGCGCTCGGGGCTGGGCACCGGTGTTTTACTCCAGGGGCGGTTGAGCTGCGCTTTCCCGGATGGGAAGACTCCCCGCATTCCATACGTTCCCTCTTAGAGCCAGCTTATACTACGAGACGTATCGGGGGACGAAAGAGCACGAGAAAGAGAGGGCCTGCATTCTGAGGTGAATCACCAAAGGAATCGAGAAAAGACACAAAAGTAATGAGCGTTTTTTCGCAGAGATAGCGAGCCGCAAGCGAAACAAACACATGGTCAGTTTGCCGGTACCTTAAGTGCAAGGGGTTGCCCCAGAAAGACTCCAACCGAGGCCTCTTCTGACGTGGCTTTCAAGTGACGGTGCTTCTCACCCACGTAGTGTTCATTGACTCCAAGTCAGGGCATGGGCATGCCACGGATCTTGAATTTCCGCAAGATGTGAGCCCGGCCCACAGATTTGTAGACATTCAAAGTTGATCTCTGCGAATCTTTGCAGGTGTTGCGATCCCGGATACGAACTTCTAGAGCTGCAGCACTCATCGCACGCAACTGCAAGGCTGTGAGATCAGTCAGTCAGAGCCGGGTGAAAAAGGAGAGCTCGGGCATTGCCCAGTTCGGCTGATGCTGGTTGATGCTTCTTCTGCATTTCTGCAGGCTACCATAAAGATGTGAGAGGTTGATGGGCAACCCTAAAGCCTGTCCTCTGAAGCTCAGTTCGCACGCTGTAATCCTCTTTCCCGGTGTTGTTTCTTCAGCTGGCTCTCTGTGGTCCGAGTTCGAAAAGGCCCCTCTTGGCCCGCTGCCGAAGGCACCAAGGCAAGCAGCGAGGCAAGGGGCAAGGGGGAAGGGGCGCAGTGTGAAGAAGAGTTTGAAAAAGAGTTTGAAACACATGGGCGAAGACTCCTTCTGTGCTTTTTCAGGGCTTCTCCAGCTCGCAGTGGGCCCGGGAAAGCTTCGTGAACATGGACAGCATGTTTTTGAGATAGCTCAGGTCTAGAAGAAATGCCGAAGAAGTCCAAGGCGAGCAAGAATGCAACAGGAGCTGATCAAGACTGTGCTGCAATCCTTGGGCAATCTTCAAACGTTGCAAACCCTGCATCTTTGCAGTTTGCTTACAGCCAGGAGGTTTGAAGAAGGCGCCCGGCAAGTACAGGGCCTTGTGTTGTTTGCTTGCAGCGACTTGGACGCCAGGGTCCAGTCATGGACGGCTTCAGGCTGGCACCCTGGTTGACCCTGGTTGAGCTGTAGCGGTTGCAGCTTGATGCAGCTTGTAGATGCTCGTAATATTCTGTTTCGAAGGACCGTGGAGGAGCCTCTGTATCTCTCCATTAAGGTTGGCCCATCTGGTTTACGAGCTTTGCTTCACTTCTGATTGAATGAGAGCAATAAGAGCAGTAGTAGACGGCGAGACTTTGGAGACGGCCTCGGAGCCTCGTGCTTGCCAGGAGGAGAATATCGCACCGTTCACCCTTCCAGTGGAGGCCAGACCATCCCTTGACTTTCGGGATGTGTGTTTCTGAACAAGCGGGCAAGAGAGGCCTTCACTTTTGAACCCGAGCCAGACATGGTGATGAGCCTGATCCTCGGAATGTCCAGGGCCCTCAGACACTTCATGAATATTGAAAGAAATTTCATAGACTGCCTACGGCACCCAAGCCACCAGTGCCACCTGGGAGGCCATTTTAAAAACGGCGACAGGGAACGCAAGATCTACTGCAACATAGAGCTCACAGAAGAGGACTGTGACACTGCAGCGCTACTCTTGGGAGAAGGATTGTGGACACTTATGCAGCGAACGGAGTGGGCATTCTGTCAAAGTGCACAAGAAACGCTATCAAGAGGAGAGGGTAGCTGCTCTCTCATCTTCGTCTGTCTTGTTTTTGTCATCGGTGCACCGGCATGCCTGGTACCTACCTGACCACAAAGAACTCAGGACTTGAAAAGCCCGTCCCAAGATCCACCTTTCGTTGTTGCACAGTTCTAATGAGCATCGGCACCGAGGTGTAGTGTCGGCAAGTTCAGCCATTGAACGCTTTTCTTCAGTACTGTCGGCTTCACTTATTCAGTAAATCGGGCCTCTTTTCGGGGCATTCGAGTCCCAGTTCTGGAAATTCGGGGCTGTTTTGTCAAATTTTGGGCTGGTCCGATATTATTGGACCGTGGAGGGTAAACAATGCTGGCAGCTGACCAGGTACCCACCAGACTAGGATGCCATATATGTGCAGATGTCTTGTTCGTCAGAGGCACACTGGCAAGGCATGTGCACGGGCTGTACAGAGTTCGAAAATGCTAATGCTTTGCAAAGGCGTTGCAACTGCTCTGCAAACGTGATGAACAGTTGACATCTTGAAGTTTGCGATCCCAGAGATCCTGCCAGGAGCAAGCAAGTGTCAAAGCCCTGCAGGACGCGTAGAGCCTGGGTCCCCTGAGTATTCTGTTTTACAGACAGCTGCAGGAAACCGCAAAGGCCGAGGGCCTGGAGTTTTTCCCTTCCATAGTGCAGCTGGCTTGTGGAACGGTTCTTTGATTGTGCCAATGTGCCACGTAGTCACTTGCGCCAGGCAATTATGGCTGGGCGCTTTTTGAGCAGAGCTCGGGGTGACCCTCACAAGGCAATGGCGCGACATGGCGCAACCATGGCAAAAACCACCATGATCCGTCACGAACACAAGCCCTCCCATCAGTTTGGAGAAACCGTCAGGCTATCAAGCTTATGTTGGCCACACAGGAGTGGAAGGCAGACTACTTCAAGGCCTGCGTGCGGAGTACAGGCGAGACATAGGTTGTCAACATCAACATGATCCATTAGGCCGGGCCAGTTTCCGATCACCAAGTGATCGATGACCTCAAGTTCAGTTCTCAGCAAACCTCCGACTCGAACCTTCAGGCATACTGCTTGTTGCGCAGCTGCAGTCTGTTTCAGGTATGGTGTAGTTTACTTTTGCGGCCGGGATTATGGTATGAGGCCTTGAAAGTGAAAGCAGCTTTCGGATTATCTGTTCTGTTTCTTACTGTGCGCGGTGGCAGGCCCACAATTGTTTGCAGAGCAAATCGGATCCCCGATGAATGGTACAAGGACTGAAGGGCGAATCGCAGGGCTTTTAGGATGTCGCCTCATCGCAGGGGGGGTTTGAGGACTTCAGGATTGGATTCAGGGGTTGGCTTGGGATTTGGGGGGTTTGGGGAGTTTGACGACTTTGTTGGGGAGTCTGGTGGGGAGTTTGGGGAGTTTGGGGAGTTCGGGCCTTTGGGCCTGAAATGTGCCGGAGTTTTGTTTTTGTCCCGAAACTGCCTCCTTGCCATGCCTTGCCGGACCATACCTTGGCGAGTGCTCACTTTTTCAGGACAAGACCGCTGGCATTGAGCGCCTCATCAAGGTACTGATTTTTGCGATGGAGTACATGGTCAGATATATGGTTGTGCCTGGCACCTACGTCAGACGACGTGTAGCAGTAGCGTCCTTACCGTGGGGCCTGTGGCATGGGTCTGGCAGCTTTGGTTTGAAGCGTGCTGTCCGACTCCGTCAGATCTGGAGACGCCGGGCCGTGCTGTGCATGTGTCTTTTTGGATGCAAGCGCCTGTTTGTACGACTGGCGTGCAGCTTAACTTGGTGTTTTTGGTGTCCTGAGTGTACTTGGCGGAACAATCCTTGGTTGCTGTATGCTCTTGCCGAGATGCCCTATGCGGTAGCATAGCATTTTGTCAGCCATGTCGACTCCAGATGACGGCCCGAAGCATTTGTTCACCATACAAGACATCGAGGAGCACCAGGCGTCATGGCCAAATTGGACTAGGCAGGGTGCAGACCACGTCATCAACATCTGCAACGAACCCAGGACACCGCCCAGAAACAAACGGCTGCACAAGATGGCACTCCGGACCCTGCCAAGCTTGAAACGACTGCCACGTGCTGACCAGGTATGTTGGCATGCATGCTTCAACCCCAAAAAAGAGCTGTGAGAAGCTCCTCCACAGCACTGCCCATCTTAGACCAGTGGTGGCAAACTCCTCCACACAGCCGTCCACAGAGAGTTTCTACATGAGCTGGCAGAGTATTGGTGGCCAGGTCTGGGGTCTTTCCGTACAAGATGATGATAGACTCAAGACAAGGATCTGCTGTTAAGGCGAAGCCCACGGCCAATGCGAAACGGCAGCAACTCATGTTCTTCCCGAAATGGAAATGTTTTGCCCGAAGAGGAGCCCAGATGCAGCTTGCAGATCTCTCGCACCTGCCATGAACTCATTCATGTCTTTCCCGAAAAGGAGCTTCCAAAAAGCTTTTCAAGAAAAACATTCCAGTCAGGTTTTTCACTGTTGTTGTTTTTGCGGCGTCGTCTTGGTGGCCTTCTCCAAGAAATGCTGCGTCCTGGTGGCCTTCTCCAAGCAATGCTACGCTCGGCGGCCTCACATGAAGTGACACCGTGCGGCCGCATTCTGTCGGAGCAGCTGGAGACGTCAGTTGCAGTTGGTCCTTGATGTGGTTCGTGTCGTCGTCGTGGTTGTTGGTGTTCTTGAAGTCGGTGTTTCTGTTGCTGTTCCTGTTGGCCCCGTCCCCAGCTGTAGCCCGGCTCAGCTGTGTTTTTGCGTGTTGCATCGGACAGTTCGGTCGTATTCTGATGCGCTCAGGCCTGGCAAGGTTGAAAACAACTGTCTGGTGGTCGATTTGAAAGGCTGCGCCCCTAGGCAGATGTACATGTTGAGCGCTCACAACAGGAATGGGCACATCACCCAAAAGTGATTCCGACAAGGACTTGGAATTTCCGGAGTGCCGATTTCAGCCCTGTCCAAGATTTACTCGGCAGCTCCGGCTTCGGTTTCATGTCGGCGCAGGCGGGTCTGGGAAGCGTATCCTATTTTGGCAGGTCATGAGCAACCACTACATTGGTCGAGTTTTCAGGCGGCAGGGCGGCAGGGCGGCAGGAAATAACCATGACATGTTATCTCGAGCTCATTTGAGCAGTATTGTACTTAAGCCCCCCGTGGTCATAGCAAATCTTCTTGCCAGGTTTTACGTTGTGAACATGTCCAGCGGACTGAGCACCATCGCTGGCTGGGCCACACTGGCGATTCTTTTTCATCTTGTCCTTCTGCTGAACGGTAGGCATGCCAAAGTGGGCCCAGGGCCTGTCATTTTGGTCTGACATGTCAGGTGAAGGGCTTGTTGACTGATCGGCAAAAGTCGCGGCCCCAAAGCGCGATTTTCTTGCGGACATGAAATGTGCTGGCTTCCTGCCCTTTCGTTATCATCTGTATACGGCTCCTGTCCATGGAGTTCATGGTTCTCTGATCCATCAATTTTACTCGTTTCCGACTCATACCGCCAAAACTCTTGGTGCGGGATGTGTCGCATCTTGATGTTGATTTGCATGTGCATGCTTGTCAAATCTTAAAGATCAGAATGAATAGGCACCGGAGGTCTGGAGTTCCATGTGTATATGCAGAAATCAATATACAGCTATGCGAGTGTCTCAGAAGCTGTGAAGCGTTCCACCCTCTTGATCAGCCCAAGTGCACCATCCCAATCAGCTTCCAACCCCACAGCAAACTCTGCGCATCTGTGCAATCTTGGGTGGGACCTTGAGCAACTTCTGCCTTGACTCGGCGGGGGGCAGTGAAAGCATCTTCAAGCAGCAACCTCATCATGAAAGCAAAGCTCCGTCAGAGGTCCACGCACTTGAGATACACTTGTTGTGCTGCAATGTTGTTTTCCAGCCAAAACCGATTGCCAAGAGCCGCCAAGACATGAGTTACCATCAGTTTCTGTAGATTTTGTATGCTCAGAGACGTGGAAATCTAGCCTTGACGCTGCCCAGGAAGCCAACAAGGTAAGCATCTCTAGACAAGTGTACAGCACAAGGCAAAAGCTACAACTTCTGGACAACCTAGATGACTTGAAGAAGGACATGCCCTGCGACTGAAAGGTTGAAGTGCTCAGAATTGAACTTCTATTTGTTTTGCAGGACTTCGCGCAACATCAGCTTGAAGAAGACCTTGGCCAGCGGCTGAGCGACCATGTAGCTGCCAAGAGTCAGAGGCAGCACCAGTGCAGAAACGCACAGCGCATCCAGTGCATTCATTTGCCTAGGTGGCTCCAGACCCATGATCACGAAGTTCTTCCCATTCCCGCTCCAGGCAGCTCCGCCAATTTCGCCACGTTCGCGCGTCTTTATGTTTCGATTCCCTCAGGGTCCGCCATTCGACAAGGGCGCATCTGAGGGCCACGCGCCCGCAGTCTTGCATTGCTCTGGCGCGTAGGCATCAGTCAATTGGGTTCATGCTCGCTGTGATCCAGATTCAGGTTGTACTGCCAAGCCGCTTGAGGGAACACACAAGGTCAGCCCGTGTTTGTGCTTTAGGTGGAGAGCGGAAAGTGAATAGTTTGGCCACTTGGCCATCGCTGTCTCTGGCAGTTGTTGACACCTATGGGTGCCCGGGGCAGAATATTTGACCCCGCCAAGAGCAAGGAGGCTTGGCAATGTCACCACGGAAAGCAATTGAGTACCAGAGCGGAGCTACAGGAGAATGCTGCTCTGGAGTACTCGCCAGAGGTCCGCAACGAAACGTGCCAAGCGGACTGCCGCCTGATGTTTCAATGGTCAGGCAGTGCTGCTTCTTGCTGCGAGGCATACGACTTCTTCGTCAAGAACAACCTTGCTGTGCCGCCAGACTGTCAGAAGCAGTATGAGGCCCGTCCCTTTTCATGTGCCTTTCGATGTACCAGCATGGAGATGTAATAGATGAATGGGCCTCCAGTCACTTCTTGGATTGTCATCAGAAGGCAGCCAAGCAAGCTGAAGAGGAAGCCAAGCGCAGGGGTCTTGATTGTTGATGCGCCAGCGCTTCGACACCACTGAAAGTATGAGAGCTGAGGTGCAGAGGCAGAAAGCCCGAGTGGAATTACCAACAACGACACGAAGGTGCTCTCCTCAGGGAATACATCGGGTTTGTCAATCGATAGCGCTGTCATGACTGATTGATCTCATCAGGCTAGCAATGATGGAGGTTCCCCAGACAGGCTTCCTGCTCCGGGCGTACTGCCCGACGAGGATATGAAAGGGTTTGCTGGCCACCAGCTGGCACATTATGTTGTAATACAGCGGAAGCCGGCAACGATGAAGCGTCTCGCGCTTGGGAGGAGGAGGACGACGATGAAGAGGAGGAAGAGGAGGCCGTGATGGGTTCCTAGAAACGTGTGCAGTCTCAACATGAAGTGCTCAGGACATCATCGTCCAGGATCCAGCAGCCATCAAGCCCAAGGGGCTGTTTAGCTGCAGTCCCTGCTGGTGTGGGAATAATTGTCGGCGTCTTACATGATTCGAGCTCGCGTGTATAAAAAGGCTTTGACCACATGCCACACATTTCAGCCAAGGACAGCCTGCAGGGCCTTGCAGGCGGAGTGTATTGTGTTGACAGGGTGCGGCTGCGGGACATTTGGAGCAACGCGCCAAAGCCACTGCAAAGCAGTGAAAACCGCTCTGCATCCTGGTTCGACTACTTTGCTTGCTTACACACTTGCATCGAAGATGCCACCTGGAGGTACATGCAACATGCATTTGTTTCATCGGGGCCTTTAGGAGACGACAACGCAGCATTCCTTCTGTCTTTGCTTTGCAAAGCGTTTTTTTGGAGTGCTAGCAGTGCTTTCCAGTGGAGCTGCTAAGACAGATAGCCGCTGATTTCCGATGCTGCGAAACCGCCAAAAGCAAAGCCTGCTAGCATGTGCTAGCGCAGTGGTGCTAGGAACTGGATCACATCAGCACGCTTAAGACTTAAGACCCTCCAAACTTTTTACCCTAGGCTACTAGGGTCGTGTTTGTATCGTCAGCTCCGCTACTTTGGAAGCGAGCTTGCCAGCGTGCAGTGTTCGGCCGCAACGATGTGCTTCACAGCTCATGGGTTGTGAGGCATGACACCTGGTCATCTCGAGATGCCACCTTACCTTTCGTCTGAAGTCTAGCCTAGATCCGTTTGTTTGGTGTCAGTGTGTTGCTGCTGCTTATAGTTGACTAGACCAGCTTAAAGTGCCATGAACGTGGGGTGTCAGCAATGGGAAGTGGCAGCTCAAAGCCTCAGTCCGAACCTCATGTGACTTACACTTACTGCAGAGATTGAGTGCAGCAGCGACCCATCATCATCATCATCATCATCATCATCATCATCATCATCATCATCATCATCATCATCATCATCATCAGCATCATCATCATCATCATAAATCATCATTTCATCATTGTCGCTGAAAGGTCGGAGGAGCACAGTGTGCCACAGCCGACATTTCAAGAGCAAGAGCTCACGGCAGCTGGGCAGTTGCCTGAGCGTTCGAACACATTTTTTAACACTAAGTCTTTTGCCTCGGTGGGCTTTCCGATGTCATGACGCCGAACCGCGCGCCTCTAACGGTGGGAGGACGAACGCCGAAACTTCGACCTGGGAAGTAGGGGGGTGTAGGGGTGTCAGGAGTGTCAGGGGTGTCAGGGGGGGGGGGGGGTGTGTCAGAGAGAGAGAGAGCTGAACAGGGGGTCCACGGAGTGCATCGGAGAAACGGAAGGGGCCCAGTCAGAATTCATAGATTTTCCACAGATCTAGCAAGGAGCTAAAAGAGGTGGGCGGTCCGTTCAGAATCCATAGTTCCACAGATTTAGGAAGGAGCTAATCCCGGAGCTAATGGGCAGCAGAAAGAGCAAGGAGTCAGGCGTCAGGAGTAAGGACAGCAAGGAGGAGACCAGAGGTTCTCCGTTTCAGTCTCAGTCTCAGTCTAAGTCGTAGTCGTGGTCTTGGTCTTGGTCGTTCGTCTTGGTCTTGGTCTTGGTCTTTCGTCTTGGTCTTCGTTTTGGTCTTCGTCTTGGTCTTCGTTTTGGTCTTCGTCTTTGTGTGAGTCTCAGTTTCAGTCTCGGTCTTAGTCTTCGACTTCGTCCTCGTCTTCGCCTTCTTCTTCGTCTTCGTCTTCGTCTTCTAGGCAGCCCAGGAGGCTTGAAAAATCCGCCCCCTTGCTGGTGGGGGGTAAAGCAGGTGGGTTGTTCTTTCACCCCAGTGCCTGCCAGGGTGTTAAACACAGCTGCGCAGGGCTATTCCCTGTTGTGTTAGAGCTGTGCTTGTCCGTATTCATCCGTACTTGTATCGCTGTGTTAGAGCTGTGCTTTTTCGTGTTAGAGCTACGCTTCGCTCGTGAGCCCAGGTTTGTGGAGTGGAGGGCTATCTAAGAAGAGGTGACGGAGGGAAGTAGTGTTTTGTTAGCGTTTTGCACTGGCCACAGTGGCCGCTTCGACAAGGAATTCGAAGAATCTCCCAAGAAGTCGTGTTGAGGGGGGCGGCAACTGAAACACCTCGAGGTTGCTAACGCTTTCCAAGTTCTCAGCCAATCGCGCCAGGATTTCGGCGCAAATGTTCCTAAATGTATTACTATTGTATTACTCGTCTTATGACGTTGTTGATGTTGGCGATGCTGGTTCGGATGAGTTTGTGCTGTTTAACGTTTTTCGGGCCATCCAACAATGGGCCACTTCTTGAGTTCCCTGATGCACCCTGTATATACTAGGCAAACGACAATCGTCATGTGCCACCGTTGGAAGCCGCAGGGTTTCTCTTTGACTCGTGCAATTGTTGGGGCATGCTGCCACAAGTTGTTGCCACAGTTTGATTTCGAGTCGGCTGAGGCCAGGGCATCGTGCCGCGAGCCTTCGGAAAGCTCAGGCTCGCCCTTACCTTGAAAACATGTTGAAAAGCCCCAGCTTAGCTCGCTTCTTCAGCTTCCTGAATTGTTGCCCGGCTGCCCTAAGGCGGCACGCAAAGCGCTGGCTTTCAGCCATTTGAGCCGAGGCACGGCTTCTCCGAGTTCTCGAGAATGCGTCGTTTCGGTATTTCTGTTCTCGCATGTATTGACTTGATGTTTTCCTCTGCATTTCGACACGTTCTTGCTCTTATTGTTTTGACTGGTTTGCATCGTTCTTGGCTGAATTTATGTTTTTCCCGCAGCCTCGGTGTTGTGGGGTGTGCAAGAATTTAACTCAGCCTTGCTCATCGCCCGGGTCTCCTGTAGTCTTGACCGAGTCTCCCGGCTCGGGTCCCTGGAATGCCCACCTCCAGAGATTCCCGCATAGTCTTGCAGACCTGCAAAGAATCCTTGGAGTGCCCCACCCGGAGAATGCGCTGCAGCCTGGCAGGCTATCCTTGGAGTGCCCAACCCTAGGGAACAACCCCGCCGAGTATCCCTTGAGCGCCGAAAAATCTCGAATGTAGCCTCTTGTGTTGCTTGTCTGGCCTGATTCATACCGTCGCCCAAGAGACCAAAGTTGATCTCGGGCAATCCCGATGTGGGAGCTGGTCCTGAGTTTCGACCGACGGTCTTCGAAAGCCAGGAATTCCTGCTCCATCATTTGGAGTTGCCCTCGATCTGAAGATCGAAAGAATGGCATTGCACATTGCTGTACGAGGGGTACTACTTTTGACGCAAGAGGACCATGTTTGCACCTCACCGAAACCGGTTCTGTCCTTCTGATTCCGATCCAAGGGCGGAGATGTGGCGATAGATTTCGATCTAACAGCAGAATTTGCCGCTGTCTCGGACACAGGTCAAGCTGTGTTTTTGTTTTTTATCATCCATGCTCGGTGACTCTGAGTACGCTTAATGTTGAAAGCGTGCACTGTTGAGGATCTAAACGCGTCAAAAAACCAGTGCCGAGCCGTCCGAGGGAAACTCTGTCAGAATTAGAGTTCTCAATGAGTGCTGTTGATGGCTTCGTGCTGAGTTGTCACCCCCTCCTGAGTACAAGGCGGGGAAACAATCACAGAACCGGGGGGGGGGGGGGCAGTGGGGCGTCTTATGGCCTCATTGAATCGGGTCTTTTTTACATGCCCTATGTCAAACTAGCAGGAAGTTTTCGTGGAAGTCCTGTTCGTGCCCCTCAGCTTTCAACTGGGTGCGGTGGACTTCTCAATGGCTTGCTTCAGTGAAGACGAACTGAGCAGATTGTGTGCAGACCATGTTGTCCAACAGGCAAAAGTGGCGATGTGTGGCTTGGACTGCGGTGACGTCATCGAGAGAGAGGTGCACATGCATGGACCAGCCGGCAAGTGCATCAGCTTTAGACGAAGCCAGGTAACGGCCTCGACTGTGGGCGAACTCCTCCGCGCAGCCAGGGAAGCTCTGAAGCGGGAAGATGTTGATGTGGTTTGTGAGTGTACAGAGCTGCAGAACCTCCCCACCGATGCTGGCCTTTACGATGCTGTCTCCCGTTCATATCCCAAGAAGCTTCAGGCATATGTAGCGGCAAGCATGGAACGCGCAAAATGGTTGGAAGATGTTCTGGAGCTTCAGTTCGAGACGGTCAGGAGCCTGATATACTCATCTTGGTGGAGCTCGATCCAATCGGGCAGCCTCAGTACTTGCCAGGCCCTGGTGAGCCCCAATCAGAAGACCGCAAGCATGCCGGGCGCAGATTCGCCCGAGCTAACTTTGCTGGTCCGAGAGCTTCAGACAGAGCTGTTGGAATCTGTTGGGCCAAAGGGATTGAGTGCGCTAGAGGTCGCCATCGATGGCGGTGATGCAGATCTTTGCAAAGTTCTTGTAGAGTCTCGAGCTAATCTTCAGAACTCTCTTGATCAAGCCCTTTCCAGATTGGACCTTCATGGTTCCAGTCCCAGGGCAAAGATTGAGGAGGTGTGCCGAATTCTGCATAACGGCGGCGTCGCTGTTGAAGCCTGGCAATCAAAGCAACCCTGGGACCGCTGCTTGCGAGCCGCTGCTACTGGTTGCACTTGGCTAGTAGAAGATCTGCTACAAAAGGATAAACTCGGTTTTGAAGATGTGGTCTGCCCGAGAACAAACTGGAGTTTGGCTTTGGAAGCTGCTGTAACATCCAACCACTCCTTGATGAAGCTTGCACTGCAAAAGGGTGTGGAGGCTGCCATCCACTGCGACAGAAGTGGTCGTAGTGTGATGCACTATGCTGCCCTACAAGGGGACGAGCAGCTGTTGCTGATGATCGCGGAGTCCATGCAAGCTCAAGGCTTCCGCATCTTGGATCGTATTGATGCGGTCGATGAACTTGGCCGAGTCCTTAGACGCTGTGCGTTCTCAGATGAGCACCTTCCGACACGATATGTTGCATTAGGAACTCAGTCATGTAGCGTCTCAGACGTACAACGGGCATTGCCGCCCCTTTTCGAGGAAGAAGCCCCCTTTGGTACGCTGCACGAGGCATTGGAAACATCTGTGCAGCGTAATGGTCCTGATGCCATTTGACATGAGTCTGGTACAGGTAATTGGTGAGATGTAGTGAGGTAGTTCCACAGCATCTTGTTGAATGTTGACATGTGGCTCGTGGCAGGTGGTCATGCAGGGGTTTGCTCTTGGCTTTGTTCCCAACGTTGTGATCCTGCCAAGCGTGACATTGAAGGAACAACGGCTTACTTTCAGGCCATCTGTGGAGGAGGCAAAGAATTTCCTCAACAGCTGCTTCCATCACTTTTCTTCGGTCAACCTCACCTAGTTCACCAATTTTTTGAAGATACTACTGATGACAGTGGGTTGACATTGTGGCATGTTGGTGCCATGACAGATGCAGTTCCTGCGCTGCAGTGGATGGTTGAGCATACAGAATCTGGCCTTGAACCGCTTTTGGACGCAAGTCATTCTAACCCGCTGCTTCAAGCCACACTGGGGGGCCACATGCAGGCGGTAGCCTTCCTTTTGTCAGTGAAGGCAGACCCTGGGCAGTTCACCCCTGGCTCGCCTAGAGACTGGGCAGCAGCGCTTCGCTTGTCAGAGCTGGAACATGCTTTCTGGGCTCACAGGGATGAAGTTGCTGACGCAGGATGGGCAGCGCGGTGGAATGCCTATAGATGGGCAGCAGAGCATTGAGCAGCATGGTACCAAGGCGCGAACCACGCAGCAGCTTCACGAATCTGTTTGACCCGAAGGATCTGCCTAAGGTTTGCGATCCATGACCTCCTTCACGCAGTTTGCTGATGCTGGGAGCACGTGTTGCCACAAATGGCATGACCATCCTCTGCCAGAAGACCGTTTCCTTTGAGGCGATTGAGCGATTGAGATGTCTTTTTCGTGTTCGACTCACCGAGGAAGAGAAGATGATGGTGACCTGCGTCGCATAAACTCTGGGGGATAGTATGTTTGCAAACTTTGCAAAGCACAAGAGGCGACACGGTCAAGAAGGCGAGTCACCGTACGACCGGCTGGAATTATCTGAAACACACACCAGAACCCAGTCTCTGTCTGGGAGTCGGTAAAACGTGGGGCCCCTGGTCAGTTTGCTTGCCCGAGCAAGCCAGAGGCGAAACCGAATCAACAGCGCGTGAGGACAATCTCTCTGTCATGCTTTGGCAAAGCCTGGTGTGGGCAACCCGGTCCGTGAGTCTTTGAACAGATGATGGCATGGTCAGAGACGTCAGAATTGGCAAGAGAAGTCGCCAGAAACCTCTTCTTGCTCTGAGAGCATCATGTACTGAAGCTTGTTGTAGCTTTCCGTCTGGTTCCGGATGGTGTGCACTTTTTGCGTAGCAACTTTCCTTTCACATGCGCTGCTGCAAGTATTTGGTTACCTCTGCCTGGCCCTCGCTAATCACTAAGCCTCACTCCATGCCTGCAAATCTTCCGTGCTCGTCTTCGGGCTCAATCAGCCCAGATCGAAAAAGTAAGTCCTTCTGGACCCAAGCTAAACGCCGAAAAGCAGGCACAGACTAGACGTGACAGAATTCTACGAAGCATGTTTCGAACTCACAGGAGGTGAACAGGCAGTCCACCCCCAACTTCAATGTACTCAGCCGCATCTGAGACATGCAAATGGCATCACCCCCGCCGACGTTTGGAGGCTTCGATATTTTGCCTGAGTGGCAGCAGCAAAAAAGTGCTGCAGCAAGTTTCAGGTCAAGCAGAGCAGAGTGGAGCTGCTATGGCGTCGACGGTTGAGGACTGAAAGCTCCTGACATTATGCAAAGGGATTCCGGATGAAGGATGTTGTGTGACATGAGCAATGGTAAGCTTTTGCGCATGAGGCCCCGCTGGCAGAGGCAAGATGTTGTAGTTCAAGCATATGCACATGAGGTCTTCAAAAGTCATACTTGACCGGCAGGTGTGCGAGAAGTGTGACAGTACCTTTATGCCTGATTCGACTCTCGCCAGCAACATCAGTAGAATTCTGCCAGTGCCTGTTGAAAGTTATGGTATACATGAATTTCAGCGGTTTCCTCCAGGAGGTTCTGTCCGCAATGTGGAGCCCCTCGGAAGGCGATGCTGTTTCGTTTGGCGGCTTCCGCTGACCTGCGTGTGTTCAGTGTTTTGGGTTGTGCTTCCCCTGCAGGGATCTGCTGCTGACATGGCGCCGAATCGCAGCACCTCCTTTGCAGAGGCCTCCTAAAGCTGATTCCATGGCCCGGAGCGTCGAGGGGTTTCAATTCCCCAGGCTGTGGCGCAGGAAGTTCCGCCCGGCGGGCTGCTCCACTTGCAGGCATTCGTAAGCGCGACACAACATGTGACCTTTGCTTGCTGTCGAGAAGGGAGTTGGGACCGTGCGCGCGCTTGCGCTTGCGCTTGTGACGGCGCATGCTGGCTTCCTCGAAAGAACAAAGTGGACTTTAGAAGCGGAACGAATCCAAAGCTTCCCCGGATGCATTGGGACAGATGTGGACAGATGTTGACAGCCGGTCGAAAGCTTCGCGATCGCAGCGGGTTGAGAGGAGCGCCCCTGGCCTCTTCTGACTGAGGGATGGTAAGCTCCGGGTAAACCATTCTATACCAGTAGTCTGACAAAAGGCATTGACCTCTGAATCTCCGGATTGGCAGCTCATCCCTCAACACCCTAAATCAAGAAACGGCATCCGCGCCCACAAGAAAAAATGAGGAGCTGGATTTCATACGTACATTTCGGAGAATCAGGGGCTTGGTTTCCTATTTATGGATGGGGTGGGGGGGGGGGGCAAGAAAGACCATACGGAATGTTGGTCCCGTGTTCATGGGCGAATTCGCTCACATTCTGTTCGACGGTAGGTAAAAATGCTGGATACCTGCGACCCGCCAAGGTTCCCCACGCTGAGGGTGCGCTCGCTTTTTAGACCTATGAATTCTTACGCAGTGCTGTCGAGGTAGCCATCCAATAGCAACATAGTCGCTGATCCCTCTTGCCGTAGCCTGAGACTCGGGCGACATGTCCTTTTGTTTTCGACCTTGCTTTGGAGGGGAGGGATGGTGGCTTGGCTGGGGGGTCCACAGTTCCCAAGAGTTAAAACCTCATGGGAGCTCCGAAAGCTCCCACGTTTAGGTTTCACTGTGCGCTCGCCCCCTGCACTCTCCAGCAATTGCGACAGAACTGGATCGTGTGCGATTGACGTCGACATTGATACATGTCGAATTTGATGCGCTGAATGCAATTCCACGTCGTCTTGTTGCCGGATTTCGAATTTGAAGCCGCAACGCCTCCAGACCTCGCAATTCAATTTTGCCATACCTGTAGAAGGCTGTAGAAGGCTGCCCAGCTCCCAGATGCCTGACCACATGCACACTTCCACGTCGCTGCGCAGTGGATACATACAGGCTCTGACAACTTAGCCCGCAAACCCGCCTCTGGAAACAGTATCTTGCTCTGCCCGACCGGTCCGCAGCAGTAGGCAGTGTCGCCCCCTTGTTTGCCAGGTAGTCGTGCAGCTTGGTGACTACTGGCTACAGGCATATGGGGTTGTGACTTTGGTCAGGCACTGAGCTGTTGTAGTGTTTCCACAGGAACAGGGAATGATGGCATTGGTTGGCTTGACCTTGACAAGGTCCTCCAGATCGGCAAAGCTGCAAAGTTTGATTATCCCCCAGGTGCCTAGGCAGAAAGCCTTGCGATCCACCAAATGAAGTGTTTGATTGAATAACTATGAATAAATGAAACCTGACAAGCGAGGTTGGGGCTGGACGGAATTCTTTGCCCTGGTGGTATATTTTGCCGTCTTGCGGCTGCATCGTGCCACAGGGTGTTTTGCGAACAGGTCCCGGCTCAGTAAAGAAAAGAAGCTCTAGTTCGCAGTCAAACGGCAGAAGCATGTAGTCTTGTTTATGCACTTCCGTTTGCTTTCTTCCATTTGCTTGGCAGGGCACGGAGTGCCATCTCCACTGGCTGCTTCCTGTCACTGACGGCTGTGCTGGTGCTTGTCACGGGATACTTCGGGGCCCTTCAGGCTGGTCAGCATTCGATGTTCAGCGCACTTGGGCATCTTTAAGCGCAGCTCCTCAGGTTTACGTGCTCCAAGTTGAATTTGCCATGGGCGTCTTTTCCTTGTCGGAGCCTTCTTGCTCTGAATCACAGACATCCACGTCACTTTGATCTGTCTTGCTCAAACATTTACCCAACGTTCAAAGGTCTATTCTTGGCAGCCAGTTTCTGCTTGGAATCTTCGCGGGTCAAAGATACTCGACGAGGAACGGCTGGATCAGCCACAGACCGTGCGCAAGCTCTTCAAATGTTCTTCAAGTATTCTATCTGGTGTGGTCAGGCCACAGCACCTGATCATACTATGCTCGTGTGCGGCACTTGCAGCAGCCGCCCTGGTGCTGACCAGCATTCTGGACGCAAGCTCAGAGATGTTTCCAGAGTTGCGCACCTTTGTCTATCGGCTTTGCATTGGGGAGGGTACTGCTGTCAAAGTCATAAGTGGAGAGTATGCGGTGGTTTGCAGGATGCGATCGCTCAGACACTAGACGGAGGTCAGATGCTCCTCCCTCGGAGAAAAAGGGGTGCTGTGGGATCTCGGGCGGTGTCTCATCTGAGGCAAGTCTCCCTGGCTGCCGGATTGAGCCTTGCGATCTTCGGTTTGCTCCTGGCACTTCTGACAGGATGCTGCCTGGTGCGTGAGATTTAATGAACGCAAGCTGCGGGAACGGTACGTACACCGTGTGCAGCCGGATGCTGCGGCCAAAGAAGCCGCCTTGCGAAGCGAAGTATGTGTGAACAACTCTTCAGCCCTTAACCAGGACCATGACACATCTCTCTCTCTCTCTCTCTCTCTCTCTCGCACTTTGAGTGGAAGATCGAAACGAGGACCCTGTATTTTGGATATCCCACCCCTACAGATGAAATGGCGGGGGGGGGGGGGGTGGGGCGTGTACCCCCTTTTAGAGCCAGAACCCCCATTTTACAACCAGAACCCCCATTTTACAACCGGCAAGCGTTTCGAGAACGCCCAAATCGCAACCATGTTCATAAGCCTCTTAACAAGAGCATCATCCGCGGTTTGGGCAAGCAGCGGGGGCCCCTCAAACACTTCATTTTCAGATAAAGGGTTGGGGTAGGGCTTGAGGTTTGAGCCCCTACAGAAGCGGTGCAGGGGCGGGCGGAGCGGGGGGAGCAAGGGGAGCAAGCCCCTCGAAGTACGTGTATGGTGGTGAGATGTGGTGAGGGTGGGGGAGCGGGGCAGGCTGGGTGGAGGGAGCGGAGTAGGCGGAGAGTGCGGTGAGCTTTTAAAACGGAGGCGAGAGCAGGTGAGGGCGGTTACAGCAGTGAGGGTGGTGAGGGCGGCAGGGGTCTGGGTATGCGTTGGCATGTTATAGATGAAGCACTAAGAGCATGGGAAGGAGGGATGGGGTGGGGGGAAGTTGGGGTAGAGAGCGGGTAAGCGCAGCGAGCAGAGCGATGACCCAAAAAAGGTCTTCACTGACGCCGCCCCGGGGGTCGGCGGACATGCCCAGCGTATCAGCATGAGCCCTCTGTGAAATGGTTGAGCAGGTCATGCACGGAGGTTCGTATCACAGTGGGAAGGTCGTTCGAAGTCATGTCGAGCCTGTCTTATAGAGAATCTGGAATGCGAGATGCATGCGCCGCATCTGTATCTCCTGCCAGAATGAAGTCCAGTCGGGCGAAGCATGCGGCTGCGATGGTGGATGCTTGGACGCGAGAGCGTGCGTCTCATAGCCCCGTCAAGTCCCCATGCTCGGAGCTGAGGATGTGCGGATTGTTCTGGTGTTGGGGGCCCGGGGTGGCTTTGAAACACAGGGGGCGTGTTGAACATTGCGCCGCATCGTCAAGAAGGTGAACTCAAGTTTGAGCTTTTTCGGATGCTTCTGTCTTGGGGCAAATATGATGTTATCCGTCAATCCGGACGAAGCTTTTGTATCGCGATTGCAAGCATGCCTTGCCTTGCACCTAAATGGAGATCTCCACTATCCGAGTCACATTCTTGTGCAACCGAAGTTTGTGGTGTCGCATCATGTACATGTCGTAGCTATCGAACTCTTTCGGCAAAAAAGCAGCCCAGATCTCTATTCAAAAATGTGCAAGTTGAACGATGAACAAGCATCAGGCAGCAGCTTTGCCGAAACGTTGACTTATAGCCTGCCCGAAGCTGTGCCCGGCCCAAGCCCATGAGCAGCTTTTTTCAACGTCATTTGCGGCAGGATAGCGCTCCAATGAGCTAGCATTGAAGGCCGTCTCGCCAGGCCTTGAGGCCTTGAAACCTGAAACGCTAGGCCTTGAGGCCCTGAAACCCCAAACACCAGGCCTTGAGGCCCTGAAACCCTAAACACCAGGCCGTGAGGCCGTGAAACCCTAAACACCAGGCCTTGAGGCCTGAAACCCTAAACGCCAGGCCTTGAGGCCTTGAAACCCTAACCACCAGGCCTTGAGGCACTGAAACCCTAAACGCCAGGCCGTGACGCCTTGAAACCCTAAACACCAGGCCTTGACGAGCACTTAACACAAGCCACGCCAGGCCTTGAGGCCTTGAAACCCTAAACACCAGGCCGTGAGGCCGTGAAACCCTAAACACCAGGCCTTGAGGCCCTGAAACCCTAAACGCCAGGCCTTGAGGCCTTGAAACCCTAACCACCAGGCCTTGAGGCACTGAAACCCTAAACGCCAGGCCGTGACGCCTTGAAACCCTAAACACCAGGCCTTGACGAGCACTTAACACAAGCCACGCCAGGCCTTGAGGCCTTGAAACCCTAAACACTAGGCCGTGAGGCCTTGAAACCCTAAACACCAGGCCTTGAGGCCCTGAAACCCTAAGGCCTTGAAACTCTACATACCAGGCCTTGAGGCCCTGAAACCCTAAACACCAGGCCTGGAGGTTTGAAACGCTAAACACCAGGCCGTAAGGCCTTGAAACCCTAAACACCAGGCCTTGAGGCCCTGAAACCCTAAACACCAGGCCGTGAGGCCTTGAAACAAAGGGGTCGGAGGGGCCGAAATGGATCAAATTCAATGGCCACGTTTTTTTTGCCAATGGCCACATGAAAGAGAGGGTTTAGGGTTTAGGGTTTCGGGTTTCGGGTTTCGGATTTCGGGTTTCGTGTTGACATGTACAGCCCCACAAACCCCTACCGGACCCCTTTTGGCTCAAGGGATAGAAAAGGGCATGCGCTGCAACTTTGGGCTCCATATGATATGTGCATGGTAGCGGAGCTCTTCCACGATCCACTGGACTTGGGAAGTGTGCTCACTACGCTGCTCTGTGCGCTCCTGGGCTGGGTGGTCCGTTCGGCTGCTTCGGCCGGACGAGACCTCGCCCTTGAGTGGAGGAGAAGGCCCGACTCGTGCGGAAGGCACGAGGCTTCAGGAAGCAGCAGAGGTTCTTTACTTGCTTGGGCCATCTGCTGCAGGAGCATCGAGCAAGCCAAGCCTTTAGGGAGAGATTGGCCCGATGGCTTTGACGGCGGAGCAAGTTGCAACAGAGCTGCAGGCCCTAAGGATGGAACTACAGGAAAGCAGGCGCCGGGAAGAGGAGCTGAACAACCGGGTGCAGTCCTTGCAATCCGGTGGCCATGGGTTGCAGGAGGCAATGGCCTCTCTGGCAGCCGTCCAGCGTGAGGCGCTGGAAAGGTCATGGAGCCGAGAAGAAAGGGTGACCCTTGTGGACAACAAGGGGCTTGCAAAGCCGGACAAGTTCGGAAAGCCCGGCTCTGAGCACCACTTTCTGCAGTGGAAGGTACGGCTGGAGACCTTCGTGCTGAGCATCCACAAAGACCTGGAGCAAGCGCTGAGCTACATGTGGTGAACCTGGAGGAGAAGGACTCCCAGCTACATGCCGTGCTGCAGACACTGTGTGAGGGCGAGGCCTTCACACTGGTGAGGAGTGCCGGTCGGGGTGCCGGACTGGAAGCTTGGCGGAAGCTGCGCCGGAGGTGCGACCCGAGCACCGAGACCCGAAGGTGGGCCCTGCTGAGGACGGTGCTCGCGCCGCAGAAGTGCACGAGGATAGAGGACCTGAGTTCCTCTATCGGAAGACGAGGCCGTGAAGCAGTTCGAGCAGAGGAGGCGGCCGGATGGCAGCCGGGCACAACTTGATAGGACATCAAAGGTGGCGGTGCTGGAAACAATGTGCCCAACGGACCTCGAGAAACACTTGCAGCTCTCGAGTCACCGGCTGACGTCGTACGAGGTGGTGCGTGCCGGAGAGCGCGCTCCCTGGTGCCACGAAAGTGACGGTGGGCCAGCGCCCATGGACATCGGAGCCTTCTCCCAAGACAGAGAAAAGGGAAAAGGTAAGGAAAAAGGAAAAGGAAGAGAAAGAAAGAATGGAGGTGGAAAGCCCCAGAAAGAGACCCGTGAGTGCTACAACTGCGGGAAATCGGGGCACCTGGCGGCGAGCTGCTGGGCCCAAAGAAAGAAAAGAAGGGAGCAGGCAAGGCCCACGGTAAGAAGAAGGAAGCGAAAGGACAGGAGAAGAAAGGAAAAGGAAAAGGAGGAAAGAACCTCCACAATGTGGAAGATGCCGAGCCGGAGGAGGAAAGCGAGGAGCCTGAGGCAAACTTCCTTTCGATTGCCGGGCTTACGAAGGTCTCGCTGTCAGACAGCGAGGACGAGGACCTCCATGACATGAGTCGGCCTTAGAGGCCGGCCACTGTCGGGAAGGCCATGGTGAAGCAGGAGCCCGGTGAGAGCAGCCACGAGCCCAAGGCTGCCCAGGGACCTAGCGAAGGGGTGAGTGGAACCTCTAGTTCCGCCCACTCCGGCCCAGCGAGGGCCATGAAAGAGGAAGAAGAAGAGGAAGAGATGAAGGAAGAAGAGGAAGGAGAAGACAGCGATAGCAGCAGCAATGTGGAGATATTGCTGTATCCGGGTGACCCAGGCTAGCCCTGCGGCTCCTGTAACTTCGAAGAGTGTGACCAGATGCACGAAGATGGGTTCCGGCACGTTTGCTCTGCGCGCGGCTGGCCAAAATGACTCGGTAGACAAGACGATCTGCGTGGTAAGGGGCCTCAGCCTACAGCAGTTCCGAGAGCTCACCGAGGAACAGAAGGAGGCCTATAGAGTGGAATGCCGTGGACCCGGACCAGCTGAAGCGCATCAACCAGGACGATGTGCTCAAGAACCTTTCGCGCTTCATGGAAGCGAGAGGAAGGACTTCCTCAGGAAAGCTGGCCACCCAGAGGAGGAACCGAGTCAGACCAGTGGTCAGGCCGAGGTCCGTGGTGAACAGGCCAGCGGGTCGCGAAACCTGCCCGCAAGGCCGAGCAGGGCGTCGTCTACGACCCTTATGCGCCGCACGGTTGAGATGCTCGAGGTCACGAACCTGGGAACGGAGAAGCGAGAGAAGGCGCAGCAGCTGGAGGAGGAAGAAGAGCCCGAGAATGCAAAGCAGCTGGAGGCCAGGATTCGTGAGATCGACGAGGAAACGCGGGTGCTGAAGGAGAGAACCAAGGCAGCGGCGGACCGTGAGTCCGCCCAACGTCCTCGGCTCACAGCGGAGACAGTGCTGGACCAGAGCACGACGCCCGGTACCGCCGGGCGATTGCAGTGCGGGTCAGCCACAGCCAGGCCTGGACCGAGGAAAAGAAGAGGAGAAAGGCCGCCTTGTAGAGGCAAGCAGGCGCCGCCGACGGGGCAAAGGAGCAAACGAGCAAGCGTGGCGCCGCGCGTTCGACTCCAGGCCGGTAAAGGAGGAGGAATACCACGATGAGGCGGCCCCTGGACTGGAGACCGAGGCAGTGGAAGAAACGGGCGAAGGGACGCTGCGTGTGCTGAGCGGGCAAGCCCGCCAGGTGAAACGAGGTGGGCTGCTTGAAGGTGAAGAGGCCACCTTCATGGCGTCGGCCAGGACCTACCTCAGCCAGGCTGAGGCACGACCGAGACTCGACAGGACGAGCAGAGGATCATGGAGCGAAAAAGGGTCGACCTTGGAAAGAAACGCGTGCGAGGAATGACCGAAGAAAAGAAGGAAGCAAGAAAGAAGCGCGTGAAGGCGGCAAGCCGGAGGAAAGAGGCCTGCCGGAACCTCCTCTGGTTCGGTGAGTGCAACCGAACGAAGTGCCCATTCGGACACGACCTGGAGCTGGTGAAGAAGGCGAAGTTCTCGGTGTGCTCCGACTTCAGCCGGGCCTTCTAAGGTTTAGGGCTGTCGCCCTCAATTCCCACCATTGCTTTCCCTACAAAGGTGTGGTGAAGGTAGCCGGGCGGGGGTCAGCAGGCGGGCCTTGACTTGCATGTGGAGAGCTGACAACTGCTGGCCAACTTGCGACGTAGCAGACCTCCTGCTGGAACGATCGTCCTCAAGTCGCTCCATACGAACCAACATCGCTTCCATCATGGCGCTTGCGCCATCGACGTCGGAGGGCTAGGCCTTGAGTTTAGGGTTTAGGGTTTAGGGTTTAGGGCTTAGGGTTTAGGGTTCAGCAGCTCCGGGTCGAGCAATCTCTAGTAGAGCCGCTGTTTCGATTCTAAAAAAAAACCCACCCACCCACAGAATCCCAAAACATTCAGAAATACAAAGTTCACATTTTGTGTTGTCGTTTGTTGCTCAGCTACTTTAGGTGCGGTGGCTCGCGCGTGTGGTGGCTCGCCTGCGGTGGCTCGCCTGCGGTGGCTCCCGTGCGGTGGCTCGCGCGGTGGCTCGCCAGTTCCTGGTTTGCAACAAACCTTTAGGTTCCTGCGTTGTCAATTGTTGCCCCAGCCGATTTAGGTGCGGTGGCTCGCGTGCGGTGGCTCGCATGCGGTGGCTCGCTCGCGGTGGCTCGCGTGCAGTGGCTCGTGTGCGGTGGCTCGTGTGCGGTGGCTTGCGCGCGGTGGCGCGCGTGCGGTGGCTCGCGTGCGGTGGCTCGCGCGCGGTGGTTCGTGTGCGGTGGCTCGAGTGCGGTGGCTCGCGTGCGGTGGCTCGCGTGCGGTGGCTTGCGTGCGGTGGCTCGCGCGCGGTGGCTCGTGAAACTCCGTAGAAGGTTCTGATGTCTGTCTCGAACAAGCCCTTAGGTTCCTGCGTTGTCGGTTGTTGCCCCAGCCAAGTTAGGTGCGGTGGCTCGCGTGTATGAAGGAACCTCACTTCACACGTGTAATTTCCTTCTTCTGTTTGGGGTCTTCGGTGGCAATTTCATTTTTGGAAGTCACTATGTCTCTGCCTACACAGCGCCGAGGTTCACACACATGTAAATCCAACCGTTGAGGGCTGGGTGGGCCAGGAACCCACTTCAGCCCCACGCCCGGAGCCCACCAACTAAAAACAATTTACAAATAACATTCCTGCTAATGGTTCAATGTTCCCATATAGTCTCGTTTCTTCAAGCTAAATCTGTATGAGTGAAAGATGTGTCAATTACCTGTGCAAAGTCAACTTTGTACGTACAAGGTTTGGAGATCATCCTTGTATCGACCGCTCCTACTTGCGTCACTACGAAGACTCGTTGGTTGCTACGTTTGGCAGTTCGTTGATAAGCTTGCGCCTATTTGTTTGCACTTGTCTGAAAATTCGCAGACAATCACAAGGAGCAAAAGGCAGACATCAGCAACATACGCAGACACAAAACAAAACAAACAAAGCGCAGCAGAAAAACCAGCGAGACTGGGCGGGAATCTAGGGAAAGATTGCATTCCATCCTTGAGCTCAGTGCGGCGACAAGTCGGATCCTTGGCATGGCAAACCTGCTCACAGCTCTGGAGTGTTTTTCAAGCAATCCCGACGTTGACGGGGGCACCGTGTCTAACAAAATCATCACGGGTTCTGTGCAAGGTGCTGCAACCGGGTTCAGGGTTTTGGGGTCGAGGCCTTAATGTGAACCACCTGTCTCCCCTCAGTTGTTGTCTTTCCCGAAAGGCATAGCTCTCGGAAGTGTACGTCGCGGTCGCCGGTTCTTGAAGCGTATACCTACCGTCGTGGTTGCTTGGGAAAGCTGCACTGTTGGGTTTTTGAATCGGCGAAAATATTCAAAATGTTTCATCGTTGGTGCAAGGCTCTTGCATGCAGAAAACATATCTTTAAGCTCTCTTTATGGATATTTGAAGCATGCGAACGCGTTTCTTGCAGCTCCGGAGGAAAAAAGCGACTAATGAGTTCTTTTCATCGCAGAAGTTTAGATTTGCTTGAAACAGCCTTGGCTCAGAGAATCAGGGGCCCATGATCGCACGTTATGTCATTAACCACAGCATTTTGCACCTTATGCGTGCTGCTCGTTAGATTGAATGGCTGTTGTAGGCAACACATGATTGTTGCGCTTCATGCTCAGCTATGTATCAGCAGCAAGCGCTCTAAGTTGCAACGAGAACCGGCAATACCCATACTTCCAGCGCTCTAGCTGTCCATACATCACCAGAATCAGATGGGCCTAGCAGAAGCTTGCGCTTTCATTTCACGGACCCAAAGTCTTTGAGGCGATTTTCCATGCGAATTGACCTCACAAGCAGCACGCAGGCTGCAGTCGTAAGTTGGACACAGGACAAACAATCAGTTTGTAGATTCAAATGGCATGAAGCGTCCTTTGGAAGAGCCTGTACCTGCGCAAAGGCCTAAGGTATCCTAAGGTCCCAGAAGCTGTGGTCTCAAGAGATGTGCGAGAGATCATGCGAGATGCGTGTGGACTCGTGGACATGTCAGGTCCCAGAAGCGCAGTGCTGTTGAGTCCACGGATGCAGGCACCGGGCATGGAAATCGGAGCTCAATTTTCAATGTTCAATCCTTCAACTTTCGTCTACCTGTGGCTTGCGAGGCAATCCCTTTGCTGGCGTATCCTTGTTCAGCGGCGCATCTGGTTTTTCTGCCCCATCCGCTGGCGGGTGTGGGTCTTGGATGCAGTGCAGGTTAGCCACAATGTGTCAGCAATGCGTGTTTTTGCGGAGTTGGTTGCTGCATGCTGTTCCTTGCTTTGATACTTTAAGCTGGCTTCTTCTCCTCGCCGCGTCTCAGTATGTTTTGTGTTGGCATCTTCTCCGAACAGCGTGAATGGAAAACAGTCCCATGCTCTTGAAGTTGAAGGCCCGGACACAACATTGCTAGAACGAAAGCACCTGAAGCAAGATTCTTCCTGAACCCCGAAGTTGCCGTACGGTTCTGGAGTGACGGCGCAAACAAGACTGTGCCGAGCACGCTCAACGACAGCAGCCACAACAGCAACAGCTCAAAAGGAGTACTTTTGTCGGCCTCCCAGGAATGTGAACGGTTAGACCAAGATAAGAGAGTTTGGGTCTCAAAGGCCCATGCAAGGGTCTTGTACTGGATTGCAGGGTCTAGAGGTGAACACGTCCTACTGTAAAGGTGAGTCCATAAGCTTGGAAACAGAGGTTGGGTCTCAAGGATGGTTTCATGGGCAAGACTGACACAGGGTTTTTGAATAAGGATTTATGGCCCTTTGAATTGGATTACAAATTAAGAAGGCTTTTCCTCCAGTCAAAAAACCTGTTCGTACTGGGGGCTCTTGGCTCAGAAACTGGGTTGTTGGGCAAAGAAACCCCCTGTCGTGCATCCGTGAACAAGAGAAGAAAGAACAGTATGATTGCCCGTGAGGAAATAGCAGTAATAAATCAGGGGTAGTCCAAGTAGTCCGCCTAGCTTGAGCTTGCGACTTGCATGAGCACGTTTCGCTTTTTCTTCTCCTGCTTTTCTACTCCAGCTTCAGCCTAATTCTTGTGGAAGTGTTCCACCAATTCAACGTGGCACGTTGTTGCGGTGACGCCCGGACGACACAGCCATTGACCTGACATTGCTGCATGTCCGTCTCCTTGTAGTGGAGGGGCTACCTGTGGTGCGCGCGTCCAATCTTCGTCATACAAACTTTTCACGCCGGGTTGGAGCATGCAGGGTCGTCATCTCACTCCTTTCGAATATTGACCTTGTGTTTACACATATACAAGTACATATACATATGCACATACATATAAATAACATATACATATACGTATACGTATACATATACATAGACATATACAGAGGCATATATTTCTTATTGTTATATGTATATGTATATGTATATATGGATATATATATATGTATATCCACACCAGAAGTTTGCAATCAAGGGGTGCATGTGCTGATGAATGCATGCCGAAAGGGTCAAAGTGTTGCTTCAGCTGAACGAAGGAGCTGTGTGCAAAGTGCGCCAGAATGGCAGGTCCATGTACAAGGTACAGGTCAACAGTGCAGAGTCGGCACAGGTTCCCGGCCGCTGGAACTTCCCAAGCTCCCGGAGAGGCCGGCTACGATCTGCTGACAGTGCTCCGAATGCTTGCTGCTCCCATCCAAGCTTTACACAGCTCAACACAGCTCAACATAGCTCAACTGTTGTGTCAGTCAGCCAACCCCTTCATGGGGCTTTCACTCTTCTCGCCGGCTACAACAGGACTTGATTTGTGCAAATGGTGCTGATAGACGGTATGGAACGTCACAACGAGTGCGGAAGCTGTGCGTTCTCCTGAGGAAGTCTCTTTGCAACAGCTGTAACAACACTGCACAGCAGAGCTGTTGACGACAGTGGTGGGCTTAGCATCTGCCAGCTTTCTTGCCCCCTGAAATAAGGCGACCTGCTTGAGAAGGGCTTCCCAGCACCTCTAGGTCCCTAGGTACGTCTTGCACGATGCTCCACTTGCTGTTGGTTCCAAGGTAAGATCACACCTGCACGTCCTAGTGCGGGCCCTGGCCGAACAAGCACCTGGCATGTTGCTACAGAGCGCGGAAGTGCAGCAACAAATCCAGTGCACCTAGTAGATGACCATTCCTGATCCCGCATGATCTCAGACAAGGTGGCGAAGAGTCGGTGTGGTTAAAGTCAACTGAGGCAGCAGGGTTGTCAATTCCAGTCCAATGGACTTTTCAGTAGCAAATACTCTCAGCAAAGTCCTCCCCACAACAGGGTTCGACGTGGGGACCCGTGTACAGTGGCGGTTCCCACTGGATTCCGGATGCTCTGTCCCATCTTGCATCCACATCCACTAGGAGACATGTTGCAGCCGGGGTGGCAACCACTAGGCCCTTGCAGCTTAGGATATCCTGACGGGACGCTGGCAGCTGGCATCACGTGATTCCTAAGTCTAGCCTCACTTTAGCGTTGCTCGGGCATCGTAGACGTCATTCTCTTGCCAATCCTGTCATCAGTCAAGATGGCACCCCACTCGCATCTTTCAAGCTGCCTGCTCTTTGGAGGCAGAGCAGCCACAAAGTCAAGAGGAGACAGTCGAAGCTGACAAAGATGAAGAACACAACGAAGAAAGCAAAGATGGAGACGGCGATGAACCCACAGGCCAGGGAATGCTGCAATCTGCAGTGAAAGCCAGGCTGTTGTCGGGCTTTGCAGGGGAGGAGGAGGAGGAAGTTATTTTCCGAGCTGATTGCAAGCTCTGGAAGCTGGCTAGCCCGCATTGTTTGAGAAAAGGATTCTAGGCATTTCTGGGCTCAGCTTGAGACCCCATGTGCACTGCATGCAGATTGCCGTGTCCTTCTACTCGCCTTGTTCGCCATGTTTGTGGCTGCCAGGTAAAGCTTCCAGTTGACTCGAAGGAAAATTCTGAGGCGCAGCCCGTGGCATCGTTTTCGGATTCGGGGATGTGTGGGCTCAAGCTAAAGGGTCAGGTGTGAGTCACCCTGAAAGGGAGCTCAAGGTCCTCCAAAAGAACCTGAAAGCCCATGAAAGCATCACAAAAAAAGTCACAAGAGAGAGTATACAGACGCACACGCAGGCGCTTTCTGTTCTTGCAAGCATAGGAGCTTTTTCGGGGTCTTGCAAGAGGGCCTTGAGACTTGCAGAGCGGATGGCCGATGATCGGCTTTTCAGATCTGCGGCCGTGCACAGAACTGATGGAGCACGGGCACTCGGAAAGTATTGTCGACAAGACGTTCTTCTAGATGTCACGTGAAGGGCGCATACGATTTTTTCGTAGAGAGACGTCTCTCAAAATACTGAGGGAGATGACACGTGTGGATTGTATATCTGCAGATTGTCGTTTCATTCAGATGCATTCTTCTCACCATCTTCACCAGTTTGAAATAGGAGTTTCGGGGCGGGAGGTGGGAGTTGAAGGGGAGCAGAAAACCGTGTCAACCCACAAAAATCTCTATGGGTTCATAGAATATATACAATACTGCAATATGGTCTCGTAGAATATAAAGAGGAAAAACAAAGATATGGTACCCTGGTACCCCCCCCCCCCCCACCACCCAGAGTTATCCGCGTTTTTGTGTGCTTGTTTCTTCTTCTTCTTCCTCTTCTTCTTCCACATGTTTTCTGATACATGGGCCGGCACAAATCGGTACATGTTGTACCGGCTCATGTTTCCAAGATCGAAGATGGCTGCGAGGCCTTCTCGGCAAATCTTGGAAGCACGAGTCGTGTCATAGTTCACGTAGTTCATTCAGCTTGTGTTGAATGTACAGAAAGGGGAGGGGGGCAGAAATTCATGAGCCTATACAAATACTCGTAAGAAGTTATATGGACTCCCCCCAAGTTGAAAATGTAAGTAGCTTCATAAACTTTACTAACATAACTGGAGGTGATGTCCCGACGAGTACTGGAATAGAATGAAGCACAGCTGCTGAACAACAAAAACGATACAGCAAACGAGATTCGGTGCTCGAGACGAAAAACCCGGAAAACCTGATTTCCCGATCTGGCCGGTTACGGATCTGACCGGTTATGTTTCTATACAACAGCCAGTTAGCAGCATGAGAAGTTCAACTCAATATAGATAGTTTGTGTGTGTTAATCATGTTAAATGAATCGGCGAAACGTTTTAGGCTCCTTTTACTTGTAGTAGCTTAAGAGCAGTGTTCTCTGTACATTCTATGTATTAAGTGGGTGAAGGTAATACTCTTGTTACAGGGCATTCGACCAACCGAATGAGCCAGAGAAAACGCAACAATAACTTGCCTTGGACTTCGTCGAATTAAATTTGAACCACCTCCTGCTAGATGCAAAGCTTCATGAGTTTAACTCATACCTTGGCTTCGACTTATGAGTTTAACTCATACCTTGGCCTCCACTTATGTATATCTTTCAGCTAGCCTACGTGGTGTATAATAATGAACAGGGGGAGAGATGAATATCAGTGAGAGCTTGACTCGCGAACTCTATCATTATCGGGCCATGTGTAAATAAAGCAGCCAAGGCTCGATATGGTTAGGTAGTAGAAAACCTCAGAATGGTGGTTCCTGACGAAGTGGTTATACATTTGTGTGGCCCTAAACCCATATTTTTAATCAAAGGCTCCTGCTCAAAATGTACAAATTGGGACCGAGCCTGACTCCCAAAGCTGTCCTTATGCCTTTGAAGAACCTTGGTCTTAGGGGTAGACTTCGCACTGACTTCGTCACAAGAATGTGTGCCAGGAGAACCGCGAATAAGGCCTAAGGGGGATGGGGTGCATATGCCAACTCGTAATCACAAGAGTTGCGAATATCCCGGTCGGGGCGTAGCAAATGCAGGACATATCTATAGCATCTATAATGTCGAATATATACGTTTAATTAAACATAATCCATATATTCAATAAATAAATATCAGCAGGGGTCAGAGCATCCAAACAAGCAGAGAGCGAGGGACAGAGAGACAGAGAGAGAGAGAAGAGTGATGGGAGAGAGAGATGGGAGAGAGAGATGGGAGTGAGATGAGAGAGAGATGAGAGAGAGAGAGAGAGAGAGAGAGAGAGAGTATACATGCTGGGTAACGCTTGCTTGGGGTATAGATGGAAGAGAAAGGGGGAGGGAAGAGTTGCAGGATGTCATTCTGCTGCGCAGTATCACCTGGACTCGCTGCAGACTGGGCGCGCCTAGCGCGCGCGCGCGGGGGGGGGGTGGGGGGGGCGACTCCCCTTAAGCCCCGAAGAAGAAGAAGGAGAGCGAGAGCGAGAGCGAGAGCATGAGAGATGAGAGACTGATGAGAGAAATGAGCCAGAGAGAGATAGGTGAGAGAGAGATGAGAGAAACTATATTGCGACTCTCGTGTCGTGCGCCACGTCCCTTTTGTTTGCTGTGTACGTGAGACGTGTTTGCATTCGGTTCCAGGCACCTTCTCAGGGTTTTCAAGAGTACCTTCGCGACGTAGCAACACGAACTTGAGAGATGCTTGCAGATGTGTATTTCAGTACTGTTGGTTCTCTTGTTTTCGTTTGGCAGGGTTGGAGCTGGCAAGAAAGAGGATGTGGTAAGGCCGCGGGCTTATTGTGCCTGCTGAGCTCCTGCGGCTAGTTAATGTGCTGCATTAGTCAACCACTTGAACTATGAGCAACAAGGTACACGTCAACAGGCACAAGAAAACTCGTGCAATTCGACTGGTGATGCGCATGCGGGGCGTTTTGAAGCTGTTGCTGAACACGCCCGTATTCCCAACGACAAGGTGCACTGTCGGAACTGTTCTCATCGGCTTTGGGCTTTGTATGTTGCATCAACTGTCAGGGCTGTGCACACGTCAGAGGTATGAAATGGTTGGGCAAAAGTCTGTGCGCTTTGTTGGCGTCGATGCCGAAGCGCAAGACGGCACGAAATCTGAAGAGGCCTGAAGCGACCCATCGGTCCCAGTTGATGTACCATGTACATGCTCAGTTCAAGTTGTTTGTGTGTGTAAAGCTCTAAGGTCGGAACCGTGGGCCCTTAGTATGGTCCCTTACCCTTGCTTATAGGGATCCGATGTATGGGCCCTTCATAAAATGGGGTCCCCAAATTAAGGGCCCATACTTCGGACCCTGGAAAAGCACAACATCCTCACATTTCCTTTAATCCGTATCTCTCTCACCGTTTTTTGGAGGTGTCCTTCTCCGCCTTCCGTTTGAACCTGCACAGCAGCGACCAGCAGGTTTGGGTATCTTTTGTGACGAGACGCTTAAAGCTACTTTAGCCTTAGTTTTGACCAGGTTCGTCAGGTACCAAATGGTTTGCCTAGACTAGTGTGGATTACCCGCAACTGGTCAGGGCAAGTTCTTGGCTGTACTGCGTGATGCCGCTGATGGAGCAAAGGATTGAGGCCTTGCCACAGATCAAGTCATGCTGTTCGGGTCCGTGCGGGTTGCTGGCGTCTTGTGAGACTGCGGTGCACGTCTTTCCCAGCGCAGGACTTGCAGCACCACCCGTGACATTGCTTTACAGCGGCTCGAGGAAATAGGGTGAGTTGCGTTGCTCGAACAGCTGAAGATGGTCGAGCAGCACATCATACAACACGTGAGTTGAGTGTGGGTCTCGGTTTAAAGCTCACGTTTGCTTCACGTTGTCTTTGGGCTTCAGGATCAAGCACGCATGCACGCTCATTATCATAAGAATCTCAGGGGCTCTCGGGGGGGATCGTGTGATCCAGAGCCCATCACAGTGCAAGCGGAAGCTCATGGAAGCACTAGCTCGTCCGCAGACAGGCACAAAGCAACATTGATGCCACAGTGTTAAACACTATCCGGGCCATGACGGAGCAGCTACAGCAGGCCTTTCAAGTGAACCGATTCAGAGCTAACGAACCACATGAACCTGCGCTGCACCCATTCTGGGCTTGTCCTTTCCCACCCCCTGAATTCCTCCTTGGCCTGCTTTTCGCCTATGTCCTGCCCATGTCCTGCCACTACCTTATGCGAAGAAGGTCGGCTGAACCAGTGGACCAAGCATCCCCCCGTCCTCCTTCCTGCCCCCCCCTCCTCACCCCCCCTCCCCTTCCCACCCTCCCGTGCTCTCGCCCTCCCACCCTTCCCCCTTCTCGCCCTCGAAGGCCTCCCCCTTCTTTGGTGCTAAGTTATGTGCGATCGTCAGCATGTAGATTGACTTCCGGGTGCGACTGCGCGATTGCGCGAGTTCGTGAGGCCAAAACAGTGGTGCGGGACTTCGTGCTGGAAATGCGAATGGGCCGACGCATGATGGTGCTGTCGCCAAGTGGCCAGCTGAAGGCAACCACGTGCAGTTTGTCTGGAGACCTTTCGGTTTTCCGGATCACCCGAGCAAGCCAGGTAGCTTGTCAGAGATGAGGGTACCATGCCATAGAACAAGCGTGATGGACGTTGCGTTGCGTTGATCGTAGATCGGCCGTACATCGGCGCATCAAGTTAATCAAGTTTGGCTACGCTCTTCAGCCAACGACGGCATTGTGACCATGGGTTGTGCTGTTTACATGCTCAAGGTGACGACAAGTACTCAGCAGCAATTCCTACAATTCCGACTTGCAATTGCGACTTTTGCTACTATTATGATTGCAATTACAATCATGAATTCGTTCTATTTTTGCAAGAGATACACTTTCACAGTTATTGCTTGTATGTTTTTTCGTAGTAGTTTGACCATATGTATATTTCTTGCTATATTTGCTTCTAGTTTCCATTGCCACTGCTCCTTCTCTTACTGTGACTACGACGACGACTTTTACGACATCGACTCTGCGAGTTTACAAAAGTGCGCAGAAAGCAAAGAGGCATCACAGATCGGGCCAAGAACAATTCTTGGCAAAGACGAGAATGTGAGCTTGCTTTTCTCTCACATGCAGCCCATGTTCTTTCTTTACTTTCCATGAGCTGCAATCCGTTTAGTAGCGAACATGGAGAAGCACATAACAGTGCTAAACTGTCGTTTATCACGCCGAGTAGAACCCAAACGCTGCAAGACCACACCGATCCCATCAAGCAAAGCGAACATTCCAAAGAGCGGTATGCCCATGACGTCGACAGCAGACAGCATAGATGGCAGCTCGCTGCATTTCACGTTTACTATCTCGCGTGCTGGAGCTGAGGTCAGGCGTGTCTGGCTGAAGAACATAGCAGGTATTTTCGCTGGCCAAGAGCCGGAGGGCTTGAGCACTCCTTTGGATGACCTTTGCGCTACGATGATCATGAGACCTTCGGGCGAGATGATCACATTTCGCTTGGAGCACGTCAATGCGCGTGACACGTTTGTCATGTGCATGATGCTGTTTGCACAATCACAAGGTGCTGAAATAACTGGCTTACCTGGTGAAGCGCAAAGTGGCGATGAAGAAGATGGAGTAGAATTGGTGGTAGAAGAAGCTCAGCTTTCTTCCGCAATGGGATCGCATGCGTGAAAAAGTTGCGCTGCAAGGCCTACCGCAATATCTGGAGCAGCACGCATGTCAATCTCAAAAGCATCAGCCACGAACCTGCAGCCTTGAATCAAAGAAGGCATGGCAATTCCTCAATGACACATTGGATGTACAGACGTATTCTTTGACATCCCTCATGTCGAGTGATCCTTTCGGGAAGAACATGGAAGAACAATGAGAAGCTACGTGAAGCCTGTGCCATGCCTTGGTTGCGGTGTGGGAGTGGTGTGCAACGAAATACATGAAATGCCGCCGCGGGCCATGTACTTGAAGGTCGAGTTCCACATGTGTGAGCTGTGGCTTCGAAGGAGCTGTCACAGTTCAGCGAGTTTAAGCAGCTGAACTTCACAGCGTCACAGGTGAAGCAGGATGGCTTCAAGCACAGGTCCGCCGGCCGCCCGGTACATTCCAAGTTTGCCCGCGTCTCGCGCAATCGCAGGCTGCGTGACCAAGGCCATTCTTTCCCTTGTGCGGGCTGCCGGGACCAGGAGGCGTATCAGCTGTGATTTATGCATTGTTCTAGTGCGTTCGAAGTTTTACTGTTTTCATGTGGTGCTTTCTTTGGACAGGACTCGTTCCAGCACCTGTTGCCAGCATGCCCTCGCTGGCTGGAGTTCCACCAGGAGAGGCTCGACATTCTGCAACATGTTCATTGAATTGCAAGTCATCCGGGATTCTGCTTGGACCTTATGATGAACCTCACGAGTACGCGAACCATCAAACAGTAGAACGTTCAGAAACATTCAGGCTTTCGGGCTGCCATCTATTCCAGCTGCTACAGAGGCCTGAACAAGTGTCAACTGCCGTAGTGGATGTGTGCTGTGGCTGCGCATTGAGGTGCTGCAGTACCAGTACCTCCAACATGCTCTTCCTGCGTGGGCCACTTACTTTACCCCATATCTTCTGCGCAACCTTCTTTCAAGGCATTTCCATGCGCAAGACATTCTAAGTAGACCGAATGTTGAGGTCTCTGCCGCAGCCCTTCCCTGTGCAGCCTCATCAGGAAGAGGCGGATCAAAAGGACGTCAAGCAAAGCATCAAGGCCTTTCAATGCCCTTGCAACTGTGTTTAGGTTGGCACTTTCTCAACATATCCGAAGAACCTCAGCTACAGCAGGAGTTGCAAGCTCGCTTCAAGTTGGATGATCGCATCGTTAGGCAGGCTCCTGCATGGCTTCAGCTTGCACAACTGCTGCTATTCTGCTACCTTCTCTTCCACTGCTAGGGTTTAGGGTTTAGGGTTTAGGGCTTAGGGTTTAGGGCTTAGGGCTTAGGGTTCAGGGTTGAGGGTTTAGGGTTTAGGGTTTAGGGTTTAGGGTGGAGGCAGAATGGCATGTTTTCATGATATTGGCTCATGTGTTTCAAATCTCATTTCCACAAGAATGATTATGGTGCGCCAACAAATTGGAGCCCACTCCCTGAAGGGACTTGGCTGGCCAGATGATGAAGAGACGGGACACCTCGCAAGAAGACATGCAAGCGATCTGGGAAATCCTCGCTGGTGCAAGGCTGCAGGGATGTTTGGCTCCACCGTGTGGGCCGAATAGGTCTCGCTCAGATGCAAGCTTGATGTCTTCCTGCCAGGAATCCAGCTGGTTTGCTGCGTGTGAAAATCCGAGAGATGGTATCGTCCTCAATTGACCTCGGCTTTCGAGATGCTGCTTCCCTTCCGCCTTTACTGTTCCATCTTTTGCTGTGTGGCGCCAAACATGTACCTTCCAACGTGCTTGCCGGCGCTTTTTCCATGGTAGCGGAGCTGGGTTTCTGAACAGGGCCAGCGTCTGCTTGTGAAAGGAATTCTTAAACGCCTAAACGGGATATCCAAGCCCCGAGCAGGCAGGCCAAGGCCAGCAACAGGGCACTGACGTTGCAAGCATGCAGCGAAGGAGCCCGATATGAATATGAGAGAGTTGCATTTGTGGGCATGGTCATCTGTGCCAAGCAACCCTGGACGTCAGAAATTCGACCATTGGATGAGCGAAGGGAGGGCTTGAAACCGAAAGGCAGTGAATGCTCACACCCAAACTGAAGTGGATGAAGAAACGGGACGGCCAAAACGGCAAGCCCCTATCCACGCCCCCCCAGCAGTCAACGGATTTGGGAGTCACCACCCATCCAAACCCGCGGGTTAGCCCCGGAGCCGCGTTCCACCCATCCAGCCACGCGCGCGCGCTCGTCTTGTCTTTTGAGGAGAAGGCCCCAAACTTTGCTTTGTGGGGCAATGTACTTCTGCAACAGGGGCAGTCGAACAGCATCGGTCATGGCTAGTTGAACCAGTCCGCTCATTAGTCAGTGAAGACACGTCCGGACTGTTTTGTCAGAGGCCCCCAGGGGCGATCCAAGCAAGCTTTCTTTCGCATGTACATCTATCAAGTCATATTTTGCTGGTGCAAGCACCTCATGGATACATGATTCCTTATGCCATTCTATGCTTTCGAATAGAGCTTCTCAGCTTTCCTTCTTCTTTTCGCGTACGCTCCGTCAACTTGGCTCCATACTCTGTTTTGGTATAGCCTTCGCCTGTGTTTCATCTTCATCTTGGTGGTCCTTCATTAAGCCAAGTTATATTTAATGTTCGCTGGTCATATTGATACCGTAATCCTCGCTTTGCGTTCCTCCTGCGAAGTGCTGCTGCTGCTTCCTGCAAACTTGCAGGCGAATTCTTCTTTCGGCCCCATACTCTTTCCCTCATATTCCCTCCACACCTTACCAGGCATGCTGATGCATCGTCCAGCCCAGGGCGCTCTGGATTTTTCGCGCTTAGGCTCATCACCACCCGGAATGTTGAGTTGTGGTCATCTAGTGCTGTACAGCGATGGAGTTCTCAAACCGATAAGATTTCTGAGCAGCATGGGGCTTGTAATTGTATTATTAGAAATTCTACACACCGCAAGGCACCCCCAGCGAATCAAGGTACCGGAAGGGTGTAACGATGTAACGTACTGTTTCCAGCGTCGAGCTCAGGAGGATGGGAAATTCCGCGGCACGCTGACCCCGGACAAAGACGTTGTTTCCTCTGCTCCCATTCACAAAGCCAACCTCGTCCTAATCTGTGGGGCACGGAGGTCGAGGAGCTTGCCAAGAAGTTCAACCTGGATACGCAGGACGGGACTCCCATAACTAACCTCCCCCTCCGCCCCCGCCCCGGGTTTCCAACGTTTTTGCTACCCTATGAGGTCGTCTCTGCATGTTTTTACGTATTCTTACTTGTCGCTTTTGGTCCAACCGCTGGGTTGGCTGCGGTTGCTTCCCGGATTCCTTCCACCTGCCTCCTTCGGGCAGCGCTTCCATCGGTCGAGAAAGCAGGGATCCGATCAGAATCATCGCCTAAACTTCGCGAAAACATCTCGAGAACTTTTTCTACAAGACGGTGGCATCTCCAGGCACCGTATGCGCCGTTTAGGCTACTCAGTTTACCCATTGCCATCCACAGCATCAGACAAGTAAAGTCGGCAGCTGGAGTGAGCAACATCATGGTGCTTTTTGGCAACACATTCGCAGGAATAATGAATAATCTTACTCTGCTGAGCTCGCCGCTTGAATTATTTTACTTCGAACATCGCCACCTTAAGGATTTGGATTGGGGGGGTTGGGCACTCCAGGGAGTCTCTGGGGTTGGGCACTCCAGGGTCTCTTGGGTTGGGCACTCCAGCGACACCAGGAGTCTCTGGGTTGGGCATTCCAGGAGTCCCTAAACTGGGCACTCCAGGAAAACTCTGCTCCATTCCAGACTCGAGGCATTGCAGGGAGACTCTGGGGTTGCTTAGGAGTCTCTGGGTTGGGCACTCTAGGCTCACGGACCGAGACAGTCAGTTGTTTCAGAACTTAACGGTGAAAAAGCCTCGACGGACCGAGAGACTCACAGAGTCAGCTGTTTCATTAACGGTAAAAACCCTCGATCAACCTCGATCAACCCTCAAGCTAAAAGTTAAGCCCTAAACCCTCGTATTTTCGGGAAGTTGACTTCCTGGAAGCTGAAAACAATTCAAATCGCATTTTCCAGGCAGGAAAAGTTGATTTTGATGGTTTTGGGCCGCAAGTCGGTGTTCACGGACCGAGAGTCAGCTGTTTCATTAATTAACGGTAAAAATCCCTCGATCAACCCTCAAGCTCAAAGTTAAGGCCTAAACGCTCGTGTTTTCGATAATGTGACTTCCTGTAGGCTGCAAACAGCTCGAAATCTTTTCCAGGCAGGAAAAGTTGATTTTAATGGTTTTTGGGCCGCAATTCGGTGCGCGCGGACCGAGAGTCAGCTGTTTGCTGACGATCAACCCTCAAGCTAAAAGTTAAGGCCTTAACCCTCGTATTTTCGGGAATTTGACTTACTGGAAAACAACTCAAAATCGCATTTTCCAGGGAGGAAAAGTTGATTTTGATGGTTTTTGGGCCACAATTCGTTGTTCGCGGACCGAGCGTCAACTGTTTCATTAAGTAACGGTAAAAAACCCTCGATCAACCCTCAAGCTAAAAGTTTAGGCCTAAACGCTCGTGTTTTCGAGAATGTGACTTCCTGAAGGCTGAAACTCAGAGTCGCATTTTCCAGGCAGGAAAAGTTGATTTTAATGGTTTTTGGGCCGCAGTTCGGTGCGCGCGGACCGAGAGTCAGCTGTTTGCTGACGATCAACCCTCAAGCTAAAAGTTAAGGCCTTAACCCTCGTATTTTCGGGAATTTGACTTACTGGAAAACAACTCAAAATCGCATTTTCCAGGGAGGAAAAGTTGATTTTGATGGTTTTTGGGCCACAATTCGTTGTTCGCGGACCGAGCGTCAACTGTTTCATTAAGTAACGGTAAAAAACCCTCGATCAACCCTCAAGCTAAAAGTTTAGGCCTAAACGCTCGTGTTTTCGAGAATGTGACTTCCTGAAGGCTGAAACTCAGAGTCGCATTTTCCAGGCAGGAAAAGTTGATTTTAATGGTTTTTGGGCCGCAATTCGGTGCGCGCGGACCGAGAGTCAGCTGTTTCATTTTAACGGTAAAAAACCCTCGATCAACCCTCAAGCTAAAAGTTAAGCCTTAAACCTTCGTATTTTCGGGAATTTGGCAGGAAAAGTTGATTTTGATGTTTTTTGGGCCGCAATTCGGTGTTCACAGACCGAGAGTCAGCTGTTTCAAAAAATGTAAAAAAAACCCTCGATCAACCCTCCAGCTCAAAGCTAAGCCCTACTCAAAATCGCATCTTCCAGACAGGAAAAGTTGATTTGGATGGTTTTGGGCCGCAATTCGGTGTTCACGGACCAAGAGACTCAGAGAGTCAGCTGTTGCATAAATTAACGTTAAAAAACCCTCGATCAACCCTCGTGGTGGTGGTGGTTCGTGGTGGTTGTCCGCGTGGTGGTGGTCCGTGTGGTGGTCCCGTGGTGGTGGTCCGTGTGGTGGTCCCGTGGTGGTGCCTGTGGTGGTGGTCCCGTGGTGGTCCCGGCCCGCGGCGTCCGTGGTGGTGGTCCGTGCTGGTGGTCCGTGGTAGTGGTCCCTGGTGGTGGTCCCTGGTCGTGGTCTTGTGGTGGTGGTGGTGGTGGTGGTGGTGGTGGTGGTGGAACCTGTTGGTGGTGGTGGAACCTGGTGGTGTGGTACCTGGTGGGGTGGTGGTATCTGGTGGCGGTGGTGGTGAAGTCTGAAGGCCGTGGTGGTGGTGGTGGTGGTGGTGGTGGTGGTGGTGGTGGTGGTGGTGGTGGTGGTGGTGGGGGTGGTGGTGGTGGTGGTGGCGGTGCGCTGGTGGTGGCGGTGCCTGGGTGGTGGTGGGGTGGTGGTGGTGGTGGTGGTGTGGTGGGGTGGTGGTGGTGGTGGTGGTGGTGGTTGGTGGTGGGTGGTGCGTGGGGGGGGTGTTGGTGGTGGTGGTGGTGGTGGTGGTGGTGGTGGTGGTGTTGGTGGTGTTGGTGGTGGTTGGTGGTGTGTGGTGGGGTGGTGGGTGGAAACCTGGGTGGTGGTGGAATGGTGGTGTGGTACCTGGTGGGGTGGTGGTATCTGGTGGCGGTGGTGGTGAAGGCTGAAGGCCGTGGTGGTGGTGTGGTGTGGTGGTGGTGGTGGTGGTGTGGTGGTGGTGGTGGTGGTGGTGGTGGGTGGGGGGGGGGGGTGGGGGGGTGGTGGGGGTGGTGGGGGTGGTGGGGGTGGTGGTGGTGGTGGTGGCACCTGGGTGGGATGCGAGTGGGTCGGTGTGGGTGGGGTGTGGGTGGGTGGGATGTGGGTGGGTGGGGTGAGGGTCGATGGGATGCGGGTGGGTTAGATGTGGGTTCGACTATGCAAGAACTTCATGCGCGCCTCTCCGACTCAACCGTGCGAGAAGAAAAAGCTCTTTTCCGCCCGCGCACCGACGTTTATATCGCGTTATATTTGCGATATACGTGACAGCTTTCTGCGTTCGGGTTCGTGGCTCCCTGTTGAATTGGGTGTTCACGGGCGGAGTCATGCCCGCTGCCTGCCTCGATGGGTTCATTGGTTCGACTTTCTTTAGGTAGGGTGTCCCTGAACAAGGCAGGGAATCAGAGTTTTAGATGCGCGCTCGTCTTTCGACTCCCTGATCTAATCTAACACGCCAAAGATTTCCTGCGCACAGGCCACGCTCGCAGTGAGAGTGACAAAGCCGATGGCCGACCACCCCGTTGAAACTAATTGTGCACTGACAAACCAGCGCACCGGCTGTGCCCAATGAGCGTAGCGCAGGGGTATTGCAAGTGAAAGTGACAATGACTGACAATGACGATGGGCTGCAGGAAGAAGTATAATGATACCACACCAACGCCCATTGCCAGAATCTCAGAACAACCCCACCACTTGAACGGCTTCGTGCCCGAGGGTATCATTTAACCCTCTTGCTATATTCAAAACAGGATATCATTTAACAAGATGTACATTCATAATATGTTTTAGGGGTTGGTCTCTGGGTTGGGCACTCCAGGGAGAGTCTGGGGTTGGGCACTCCAGGAGTCTCTGGGTTGGGCACTCCAGGGAGTCTCTGGGGTTGGGCAGAGTCTGGGGTTGGGCACTTCAGGGGTTGGGCACTCCAGCATTCTCTGGGTTGGGCACGGTTGACAACTCCAGGGAGACTTTGGGGTTGAGCATTTCAGGAGTCTCTCTGGGTTGCATTTCAGGGCACTTCAGGGAGTCTCTGGGGTTGGACACTCCAGGGCCGGGCGAGGGTAAAATCTAACAACCCCACACCGAAGGTGGGGGACAAAACTCCAGATCGGTCCGCAGGGGGGATGCGCAAACCCCAACTCAGGAATCACGTGGACATCTGAACCTTGATCACACGAAGCCTGATTCTCTGTGCTTCCGGGGGGGGCTTCAGGCCCAAAAGGTTGTGTCCCTAAACCCTGCAACCCTGAACCCTTGAACAACCCTAAACCCCAAACCCTAAATCCGAAAACCTCAAACCCTACACGCCCCATCCTCTCCCTTTACCCATCCCTGATCCTCCTAGCACTCCAAGAAGTCTGTTGGGCACTGCAGGGAGTCTCTGCAGTATAGGGAGACTCTGGGGTTGGGCACTCCAGGGGAGACTCTGGGGTTGGGCACCAGGGAGAGTCTGGGGTTGGGCACTCCAGTGAGACCGGGGGTTGGGCACTCCAGCAGTTTCGGGGTTGGGCAATTCAGGGAGTCTCTACTCTCTGTAATTGGGCAGTCCAGGGAGTCTCTAGGAGTAGACTGGGCGAGGAGAAGAGTTCCGGGCGAGGAGAAGAGTTGAGTTTAGAATCTAACAACCCCACACCGACGGTGGGGAAAAAAGAACTAACGCCTGAAGCGGAGATTGGTCGAGCGAACAATCCCTGCATAAATATTCGGCAGGCTGCCGCAAAGCTGGCAGAAGTGCTTTCCAGAAGAGATGACCGCAAGAAGGATCTCAGGTACTTCTCGTCTTCGTTAGAATGTCTGAGCGGCAAAATGCTGCAAAGCTTGTCGCTGGCCATGCAAGGCAGATACAGAAGCATCTCCAGCTTTCAAATAGACCGTCGTCCCTAGCCGGGAGCCCAGTTTTTGCCCATGCTCCAGACTTGTCTGGACACGTTCCTGTACGACCCGGCAGGTCATGCTGATGCTGAAGGACATGCGGAATGGCCTCCCGATCAGAGATCCGGAGTGCCCTCGCAGAAGTCGTTGCTTGACGTCGGGCAGAAGTTTTTCTCAGAAGATTGTTCAACATGTCAAGTAGCCCATTGTGTTTTGGAAAGGTATCCTCCAGCAGTGGGCAGTTTGGCTCACAAGCGCGGCTTGAAGGGACACAGGTCGCGCACAGATTTACTATTCTTACTGGACTCTCGGATTCCATTCACGAATTGCTCAGGAGCCGCAGTCGAAACAAGCGGCGGACGTCGTTCGAGACTGAGGTCGAATGGTTGGAAGACACTTTCTGGTGTGCGTCGACTGAGGAGCAGCAGCAGCCCACCTCTTCGCAGTCCAGTGAAATCCAGTGGTGCAGTGCTGAGTCCTCTTCTGTTACTGGTAGAGGGTATGGCAATGCAGTGATGTGGGACACAGCGGAGACACTGCGAGGTGCAGGACCGGACCCAAAGAAGGCGCTGCTGGATGTTGAGATGTGCTAGGGTTGATTTCTTCTGTTTTGCATATATGCTTAGCACAAACCGATCTACAAGCGGCCTGTGGCACGGTTACGAAAGCTAGCTCTTTCAGCCTTGTTTTAGGTCATCCGATCCAGGTGGGCTTAACCTTCAATGTATCGGTAGCTTGGTTCCCCTGCAGGCTTCCGATTTCTTCGGAGGAACCCCTCCCCTCCCGTATCCCGTTCACTGCTATACGCTGCTTTGGTGCCAGGTTGCTTCAGCACGCGGCCCTCGACCACAGACATTGCTTGAGCGGTTCGGATGATTCGGCTTGGTGCTTGCTAGCTGTCCCTTGAAAAAGATGGTTGAATATGCCTTTCTCGGCCTTTTGGCAAGCAGCCAGCGATAGCCTGCGGGACAAGACTACGGGACTACGGTTTTTTGGTTGCATGGACATTGCAGAGAAGGGTTTGGGTCCCCGCAACGTTTTGATCGAATTCTCTTGGCTGACTTTTTGGCTGGGCCAGGGTGCAGGGCCGAGGGCTGGGGATGGGGATGTCTTTTCGCATCTTAGGGAAAAGGCAATATTACAAAACGGTACATAATAATATGTTCATGAGAATATTCTCCTTGATTTGATCCCACCCATTTAAGAATAATTGTAAACTGTTCGTGCGCGCTGCTTCGGCAGCCGGGCCGGGAAAGGCCTCAAAAAAGGGGAGGGGGTCCCAGGAAGGGCTAAGGCGTCTTAGGGGGGTCGCAGGAGGGTCGCAGTTGGTCCCAGGGGGGTCGCAGGGGGATCAAAAAGGAGATTAGAAACTGGCCTGCGAGTCAGAAACTACGAATCAGAAACTCCGAGTCAGAAACTGCCCCAATTCAGAAACTCCGAATCAGGAGCCGGCACATCTCAGAAACTACACATCAGAAACCCGCGCGACTCAGAAAACTGCAGAAAACTGCCCATCAGAAACCTGCGCGAATCAGAAACTGCGCATCAGAAACCCACGGGAATTAGAAACTGCGAATCAGCAACTGCGCAGCAGAAACTTGCCTGCGAAGCACAAACCTGCTGGAGGGGGAGGGGGGGTAAGACGAAATTCGGCCTTGAAGCCGAAATTCGGCTCCTGAAGACGAAATTCGGCCCGGAAGCCTAAATTCAGCCTTGAAGACGAAATTCGGCCCTGAAGCCGAAATTCGGCTCTTGAAGATGAAATTCGGTCCCGAAGACGAAAATTCGGCCCTGAAGCTTAAATTCGGTTTCGGTCCCCCTTGGGCCTGCAGCCTAAATTGGCCCAGAACCGATTTTCGTCTTCAGGAGCCGAATTTCGGCTTCAGGACCGAATTTCGTCTTCAGGATTGAATTTAGGCTTCCGGGCCGAATTTCGTCTTCAGGAACCGAGTTTCGGCTTCAGGGCCGAATTTCGTCTTTAGCGGCCGAGTTTCGTCTTCGGGGCCGAATTTCGTCTTCGGGGCCGAATTTCGGGCTCAGGGACCTAATTTAGGCTTCCGGGCCGAATTTCGTTTTCAATGCCGAATTTCGTCTGCGGGGCTTAATTTCGATTGGGCCGAATTTCGTCTTCAAAATTCGTCTTCGAATTTCGTCTTCGCCCACCCCCCCCCCCCCGGAAAAGGGGACGCACTTCCCCGGGTCTCTGAACGATAGGCGACATTTACGCCAAGAAATATCCCCATAAAAGGCTACGGGCTCGACCCCCATTTTCGCTCTGGCCTTGCAGGGGGATCCTGAAAATTCCGGGAATTTTAACGCTTATTGTCTAAAAATCCTGGGAATTTTGGGAATCACCCGGAGCTGAAAATTCCCGGAATTTTAGGAATCACCCGGATTGAGGTTTAGGCTTTCCGGATTGGATCTATGGTTCTAGCACAACAATGATGACGTGGGTGCCCCTTCACCTTCAGGGAAATCTTCAAGGAAATCTCTTGGTCCAGGGTAGTTCAGATGACGGTCGCCGCCCGCCAGCTGTTCAAGGGGGTTCGGCCTCACGATCACATATCAACAACAACAGAATCACCATGTTCGCACATTCACTTCCACTTGGCGGTATGCAGTGTCGACGCTGGACACGCCTCATGAGTTTTTCGGGATCCCCGGGTTCAGGGTTTAAGGGTTTTACGGTTGTAGGAGTTTGTGGGGTTTGGGGGGTCTTGTTTTTGCTTCTGTCGTAATGGTGTGGGTTTTGTCGGGCGTGGTGGGGGTGGGTGGTTTTGGGGTGCTGAGGGGCTGGGGTTGAGGGGCCAGGCTGGGGTTTTGGTTTGCTGCAATGGTTTGGGTTTTGTCCGGTATGGTGGGGGTGGGTGGTTTTGGGGTGCTGAGGGGCTGGGGCTGAGGGGCTGGGGTTTGAGGGGCTAGGGCTGAGGGGTTGGGGTTGAGGGGCTGAAGGGCTGAGGGGCTGAAGGGCTGAGGGGCTGAGGGCTTGAACCGCTGAGTTGAGAAGGGGTTGAAGAGGGGCTGAGGAGGGGCTGAGAGGAGAGGGATTGAAGGAGGGGCTGTTGAGGGGCGGGGTTGCTGAAGGGAGGGATTGTTGAAGGGAAGGGCTATTGAAGGGGGTTGTTGAGGGTTGCGAGGGGGCTGTTCCGGGACTGCTGAGGGATTGTTGAGGGCCGTTGAGGGCTGAGGACTCCTGCATTTTATGGCATTTTATTGGTTTTGGGGGGCTTTGGGGTGCTGAGGGGTTGGACTGCGGGATTGGGGTTGAAAGGTTGGGGTTTTTGTAATGGTTTGGGTTTTGTCGGGTATGGTGGGGGGGGGTGGGTTTGGGATATTGAGGGGTTGGGGCTGAGGGTCTATGGCTGAGGGTCTGGGATTGAAGGGGTTGAGGGGCTGAGGACTTTCTCTTTTTTCTATTCAATACGTGATGATGCCGTCGATGGAATCGACGGGTTCCCTCTAATATATCCCCATAAAAGGCTACGGGCTCGACCCCTTTTTTCGCTCTGCGGCCGCCCTGTCGGATGCCCCGCCTCCTCTTCCGGTCCATTTGGCTGATTGTGAGGGCCTTGCAGGGGGATCCTGAAAATTCCGGGAATTTTAACACTTTTTGTCTAAAAATCCTGGGAATTTTGGGAATCACCCGGAGCTGAAAATTCCCGGAATTTTAGGAATTGTCCGGATTGAGGTTTGGGCTTGCCGGGTTGGATTTTGAGGTTCCAACGCAACAGGGATGACGTGGGTGCCCCTTCACCTTCAAGGAAATCGTCAAGGAAATCTCTTGGTCCAGAGTAGTTCCGATGACGGTCGTCGCCCGCCAGTTGTTCAAGGGGGCTCGGCCTCACGATCACATATCAGCAACAGCTCTCGAAAAATCCTAGGAATTTAAAATTCCGGTAATTTTCGGGATCCCCCGGGTTCAGGGTTTTACGCTTTACGGTGTAGGGTTTTGGGGTTTAATAGAAATTGTGTAGGGTTTGTGTCCGGAGTTTTGTCGTGTTTTGGGGGGGTTTTGTTTTTTGCTTTTGCTGTAACGGTTTGGGTTCTGTCGGGTGTGGTGGGGGGTGGGTGGTTTTGGGGTGCTGAGGGGTTGGGGCTGAAAGGCTGGGGTTTTGGGGGGTTTTCCCGAATGCCCGCGGTGGTGGTCCCGTGGTGGTGGTCCGTGGTCCCGTGGTGGTTCGTCGTGGTGGTCCCACAGCGTGGTGGTGGTCCCGTGGTGGTGGTGCTCCTTTGGTAGTGGTGGTCTGTCGTGGTGGTGGCGGTGTCCGTGGTGGTGGTGGTCCCTGGTGGCCGTGGTGGTGGTCCCGTGGTGGTGGCCGGGTGGCGGTGGTCCGTGGCGGTGGTCCGCGGTGGTGGTCTCCTGGTGGTGGTTCCGTGGTGGTGGTCCCGTGGTGGTGGTCCCGTGGCGGTGGTCCGTGGTGGTGGTCCGCGGCGGTGTTCCGTGGTGGTTGGTCCGTGGTGGTGGTCCGTGGCGGGGGTCCGTGCGGGTGGTTGTGTTGGTGGTCGTGGTGGTGGTCTCGTGGTGGTGGTCTTGTGGTGGTGGTGGTGGTCTTGTGGTGGTGGTCTCGTGGTGGTGGTCTCGTGGTGGTGGTCCGTGGTTTATGAAAGAGATACGTTGTCTCAAGAGTTGACCCGTCGACCCCGGTTTACGCAGAAGATTGTCGTCGGCTGCCCGCCGACAAAGTGATGTCAAAAGACGATCCCTTTCCGGCTCCAAACCTCCCGAATGCTCAAAGACCAATGGTTCAAATTCTACGCCCTGCGCATGACATCTCTGAGCTGTCGCACGATCTCTACGCTTGTTCTCCGCCCGAGCTTTGGCAGCCGACAAACTTTCACGTCCCAGATCCGATGACCGAAAAGGAGAAACAATCGAGATATCAAGGGCAATTTTCGGCATCAGGCTCCAAAACAGATTGCCTACAAAGAGCAGTGGGGATAGTCAAGATATCTGCCGGGCGTTGAGCAGGCAAGTCAGGGAGAAGATGATTGGATTCTAATTTGCACTGTAATTTCCCTCCCTGAAGAATCCGATAAATTTCGTCCCGAATCATATTATGTAGGACCGTTTTTCCTCCAAGCATATGACAAGCGAGCGTGTGGTGTCCAAAAGAATCCTGAGATTGGGCGCATCGTGGACATGCCATATCGCCTTCAAATACTTGTCTTCCAAGTCGCATAGAAAGAATATCGTGGAATGCAACATTAGACAAACATGTATCAAAGGCATGGCTTGGGATAGCTCGAATCCATCCATCCGCCCATGGGGCGGCAAACGCCCGGAGCACCCGCTTGTGTTGATCCGAAAAAATATCATCAAGACCCTTACGGAAGGAGAGCATCACGACATCCATCAATTCCTTTTGTTTCGGTTTGATGTCGGGATTCTCAAATTCAGACTGCCAATTCGGGAAGATCTGCGCAAGTCGCTGAATTGCAGGAGCCCAACCCAATCTCGAGTAGCCCGGTCGGGCGGGGACCAAAGCCTCAACCAATGGCGCCACGGCCCGGCACGCCACCACAAACGTTAGGTCAGCTCTTCCAAACACTTGATTTCCAAGAGGGATCTGTTCGGAAGTAAACCCTAAACCACCAGCAGTGCTAGGGAGCATGGCTTGGAGCCATTGGGCATTCGTGAGTTTCCCGCCGAAAAGATTCTCAAAGGCCTCCCTATATCTACCATCATACCACTCCAAGAGTGGAATCAAGAAATGTCGAGGAGCAGTCCTACCCAAATAATTCAACTGAGGCCAACCCATGCAAGTCTGAA